GAAGCTCTGGAAAAAGGAACCGATATAGAACTAGGAATGTCGACTGTTCACACAAGTCTATAATTGCGATTTGTTAGTTTTTGTTTCTTTTTCGAACATTTTTTTAAATAGAGGATTTAAAAATCCGATGCAAAACCTGACGTCCAGTTGTTTCCTGTCCAGCCTAAGCTTCAGAGAAGGCATTTCACGTTTAACGACGACGTTGGTTACCAATGTTTGCTCGGCAACGCGCCATTAGTTGTCATTCGTGTTGTTTCGATCGGATTCGCGCAGCTACGTCGTCTTCCTTTTTTCCATTTCGAACTTTTTGATTTCAATTCAATGCCATCTCCTCTTTTTTCCATTCCTATGCCACCTTCTCTCATGTGGTTCAAATTATCATATCGCTCATATCCCATCTCTTTTTTTTCGTCTTTCTCCGATGTTCTACTACTGGTGGTCGTCGCTGGGTGTCCAGCAGCCAACTCGTCATTTTTTTTTCTGTGTTTGCTATACGTTCCAGCTGTTGAACACTCGAACACTCAAGAGGAAAAAATTTGAGTGAGGGATATTTTGAAATCCTAAAGGTTTCTATCGGCTGGATCAGATTCTTTAGAATGCCCAGTGCTCTGAAAAATGTTTCAGTCGGTCCCTTTGAAATTTGATTAACCAAAAAAAATAGGATCATGCCAAATAAAAAACACAAAATCGCTTCCTGGCTCATTGAGCAAAAGCGGAGGGGGACAACCTGATGTCCACTATACGAACAGCTGATGCCATCAAAAAGAGTCCGGAAAGAGATTTGAGAAAAACGGACCTCTTTCTCGTTTCTCCTCTTTTTTAGTGATCAAGCTTCCCTTCTGGTCAGCAGCTCATCCATCAAAATCTCGTTTGTTCCTTGAACTTGTTCATCTGCAGGTGAGAGAGTCCTTCCGTCGGTTAGTCTCCTCCCATTTCCGAAGCCACCTTTTCTTATTTTGATCAAGAGTACAACTGAAAGGTTCCTTCACTCACCTATTCTTATTTTTAAAAAAAACGTATCAAAACTATTGTCTGTTCAAGAATCTTTACGATGGTACTGATGCCAGATGTTCTCCTATTTTTCGTTGATGCCGCTTCTTCTTGATTTTTCGAATGGTCACTGATGTTCACTTCAATTCCAATCGGTCAGTTGTGAGAAGGGGAAAAAGGGGTTTGATATTATGCAACAACTTGCGGAACATCATCAAAAGGCAACATCGTGTGATGGGGCAAAAACCGGTCGAGTCTCAAGATTTTTTTCGATTTCATCTAATCAGTTGAAAAAATTTTCCCCTCCCTTATCTCCTTTTTTTCGAGATTTCTCGGATTTTTTAGTCAATGAACACCTAGTTCCCTGGGGATTAGTGTGGTCCCCCTGTCTTATCAAAAAGTTTCTTCCCATTTTTCCCATTCCGGTCAGAAGTTGCGCCATAATCATCGGTCCCTTTCTCCCGTCAATCATCAATTCATTCATCTTATGTGGGCACACGAGTCGAAGGTTATCTGCGGTCGTCTCCGGCAGAGGAGGTAGATGTTGCCGCGATTAAGGTAAGAATCGGGGGGGGGGGGGGGGAGAGGTATGAAAGGTATAAAGACATCTTACTCTTCGGATTGCCTTCCTGCCCCTGTATGACCTTTTTATCATCATCAAAAATGCGCACATTCTCCGGAAAACGGTCTCGGGATTGGGCTGTTATCAGTCAATTCCATCAACCATTTGCACGTAAGGTCAGTCATTTTGTTACCTGAGTTTGTTGCATAACTTAATGGATTTGAGTAGCACTGTTTACGAGGATTCCTGGGATCTCGGGGATACTGTTGGGTGGCACTGACAGATTGGGCACAGATTGGATGGGCGAAATCGTAAATATTTTTCGACACAGTACCATTTAGAGGGGAGAGGTTACCACTATACAGATTTTCTTCTTTTTTTTCAACTGAAAATTTTCTCGCCTAGTCAAAAATATTTACCCAGCCTTTCAGTGGTACTAACTACATGTGTCGCCCTGCCCTCCAGCTGCATTGATGCCCCACAACAAGCTGTGGTCAATCTTCACTTCGGATCTTCGTGCCACTGATGAAAGATGCATATTCAACTGGTTAATAACTTAATGAATGACAATAGACATTGCCGCGCGGAAAAAGATTAACTCATCCGCGGGGGCCTTTTTTGCCGCCGCCATCAGTTTGATAGGATCTCGTCTACCGTAATCTTTTAAACCCCGCAAACTTTATTAAGAGACCTATTTTCTCGTGTAGGATGCCAAACAAGCGGTCATCTAAAGCAGCACTGTTAACATTTCTTCTCAGCGCCATCGCCATCACCCATTATCACTAATTTGTCTTTTTCCCAAATGTCGCCCTGTGTTCGGACGCCGTGATTCTTGGAGATGGCAGCAAGAGCGGTAGTGAATAGATGAGGAAAAAAGCGGGTGAGCGAGAGGTTTTCCTTGAAACAAAACATGCCCATAGCTTCTATCCTGTTATTATTTTTTGCTTTTTAAGAATTTTTGCTATTAAATTCCAATCTGCCAACGGTCACTCTGGGTCAGTTTTATTTATTTTCACTTCCGCTCAAGGTGAAATGAAATTGAAACGACAGGAAGCAAAACAATTTAGTGGTGGTGGTTAAACTCTTCGTGGAACTTCGTGGAACAGAGGTGAAAAAATCTTGTTCTAGGCGAATTTTTCGTGATTCTTTTTTGTAATTTTTGTAATTTTCCCAAATTCACTGATAGTCGTTGATTCCTTCACTCCTGTTTTTCTGAAACGAGACCGACGAGGTGAGAAAAGAAGAAACATTGGTTTCAGCCAACGCCACCAGGCAACCATCACCTCCTTCTCCCTCCCCAAATTGATACCAGTTTTCTTCCAACCACACATGTTTCTTCCTCTCCCTCCTTGCGCTCATTTTTCCTGTGTTAACATCAGTCATTTTCTGCAATTGACTTCATTCACTTCTCTGAAATTGTTTCAATCACATAATATGCCTCCAATTGCCCTCTGGCTAAAAAAACCCAAAAAAACCAAGCTCAGGGGTTGAGAGATAAAGAAGTTCTGGAAAAGATAAGAGAACACACTGGGTACTGTATTCTCATCAGTCTCCAAATTTCCGTATCTTTCCTTTCTCCACCACTCTTCCACGTATTCCGCCAATACCATTGGGAAAATGGAAGGGCCACCCCGGTCTCTTCATTCTTTCCCGTCTTCATAATCATCGCTTTTTATCATTCCCTCCTTCATCCCTCCCTCCCCCACCTCCTCTCGCCCAACCATCTCACAAACACACAGCAGCAGTGTCGAACATCATTCAAACCAATTTTCACTTTTTAATTGACAGATCTTCAAACAAATTTCGAAACTGTGAGATGTTTCGCTTTCTCATCATATCACCAAGATTGTTTTCACATGCTAATTGAGACTTGCAGCTACTTTGACCTTTTATTCATTAACACTAGACACACGTGATATTCCTAATCAGGAGAAGTCGAAAACAAAGTCTGGAGAGCTTTTGCCAATTAAAAAAGATGACTTCTTATCCCCTATTTTGACGTCAATGGGAATTCTTTTTCTTTTATTTTATTTTCTTTTAGTGGCTAGTATCCACCTGACCTAAAGTGTCCACAATAACCCCTCCACCTTTATTCTCAGATTCACTGTCCACTCCTATAAATCATAACCGTTCATCACAATTACCGCACTAAATGCTAATAATAGCCGATGCCCATATTGAATACAAAAGACGTTTTTCGAAACTTTTCGGATATCCAGTTGAACAAATTGTGCTTCCTTCCCGTTCAAACTACTGACCACTAGACTCTCCTCGCTTAGTAACGCTTATTGAAAATTATTGGTTTAGACAGACAAGAAGACGGTAGCTTTCTGGAGTCGGCCGTTCCGGATTTTTCTGTGTGTTTCTGAATTCTGTATCCCCCTCAAATCGCCGCCATTAGCTTCGGACGGGACGGCGGTCGTCGTCGTTTGCCCAGTTCAAGATTTGCTGGATCTGTATACAATACCCCCTCCCCCTTACATTTTGACTTCGTCTCACACAAAGTCTTCGACGACCGGCAGCGCCGGCGGTCCGCCAAAAAACAGTTTGCGTAGGAATAAAACGGAGAATATGATTTGCAGGAGGAGGAGGATACATTGAGATCCATCATTTCAAATCGGCAATGGCTTTCCGCTACTTTTGTGATACATATCAAATTGAAATGCTATCTAGCCATAGCTTCTCCATACGAGTTTTATACGGTCTGTTGAAAGTGTGAAATTTCGTCTTTGGAAAATCTATTATTCTCTACTCCTTCTTCTTTCATTTTACTCGTCCCTTTCTCACAGGACCGGCATCGTTGCCATTGTCGGGTCCCACTGATACTTTTATGACGAATCGAAACGGGGCTCGTCCAGAAGAAGGAAAAGAAGGGGGCGGGGCCATGTTGACCAATACGGTTTTCTGACAAAACGCCGTCAGTTTTCCTGTGCCTCACACAAGCATTGCAAAAAAGGAACGGATGGTATGGTTCCATGACGCATTCAGTCCATTCTCCTCGAGGTTTTCCATACACATATTTTTAATTTCGCTCTTTCTCTTTTTCCTTTTTCCTTTTTTCAAACAAAAAATTGTTCATAAATTTCATCTTCACCCTCTCTCTCTTTTTCCAAGTGCACCAAGTGTTTCTAGCACTGATTACGGCACGTTCTGGCGGTCTCTTCCATCGGTCAGTTTCAGTTTCCGCTGGAGGGGCACACGGCTGTTTTCTTATCAGTGAACCTGGAACTCGAAAGAGAGACAGATGACCAAACTGAAACTGACCATTTCAACATTTTCCTTATTCTTCTCCTAATTTGTTTTCTTGTTGAATCTTTTGAATCGTTGGACCCTTAACTGTCCTTTATTGCTCAATATTATCGTATTATCTTGCCATTTCCTCCTAAAAACATCCTATCAATTTTCATTATTTACAGACAACATCTCCCGTTCTCTATGAAAAAACGCAATGGATGATTATATGAGTTACAATAATTTTTATCAGCAGCCGATGCCCGGGTCTGATATGTATCCGCCGCAACAACTTGGAGGGATAGAAGATCAGATGGGCATACAGCCGAAAGCGGTAAGTCATGAGCCCCTAAAATTTGCAAGATTTTGAAATTGAGTGGGATTGAAGGGGCTGAGAGATGAATGAAACAAAAAAGAGCAAAAATTCTGAAGAGGTTAGTATAGCTATAAATCTATCATGCTCTTGAAAAAAAGAACTGACGTTGACATTAGAAAGAAATCGGCATTTTCTTTCGTTTTGCTTATTTCCAATTTTCGAAATATCACGAGACTCAATGAACCATCATCCCATTTCTGTTCTCTCATTCTCTCCTAATTCTCAACGACATTATCCAGTGATCGTTTTTCAAGACAACATGGATCCCTTTCTTTGGGCACTTCTTACTGTAGGTTTTGCTTTTCCTTCCGGTGTTATGACCCCCCTACTTTCGACACCTTTCATAACACTTATCAGTTAAGTTGATAATGTGCCGCCAGCCAAAAAAATAACAAGCATTGTTGACAAATAAATACTGGCGCTATACATGACTTAAAAATAACTAGGCTAGACAGGGCGAGGCTCTTTTTTGGCTCAGGTGGTTACCTATTTTGCGATAAGATTGTTTTTGGGGAAGGTGTTGTTGTTGTTTGTTTGTTTTTTAGTTCGATGGTCACTTGCAATCCAGAACAGCACCCGAAAAATTGGAATACAGTTTCAGAAAACTTCTAGAAAAATATGCGCGTGTCTCCACTTTTTTACTCACTCTCTCTCCCTGATGACCCAATGCCGCCCCATCATTCCAACGCGTAATCAGTGATCGGCGCTTCATCATTCCGCGTCGCTCCGCGAGTTGTGCGTGTTGTTTCTGGACGACTCACTCCAGAGGCCTATCGGTCACCCACGTCACATGGGTCATTTGAGAGGCTTCAGGTGAAAAGTGAAAATGAAAATGAAGTGCAAAGAAATTTGATAGGTTGATAGAAAGGGAGTGAGCAAGAGTTAGAAAGAGTGGTCACTCAAAAAGTGTTTCTCAAGGTCCCAGCAGCGTTTTTGTAAACAACATAAAAGATGCACACAAACTATATACACACGTGATTTTTCAGTGATTTTGGCAAGAAAACCAATCAGAGATGACTTTCTCTTTGAAATTCAATATTCGAATCAGGAAAAAGAGGTTCTTGATGAAAGGATTGTTTCGAAGCTATTAAAAATTTGTTTCGATACCAAAGACAACTACCGTTTTTCTCTAATAGTAGCCTACCCGAACAGTAAATTACGAGCTCGGTCATCTCGATTCCTATGACAGATATCAGGAAACTGTCTACTGATAAAATATTTTAAAAATCATGATCAATGATTTATCAATTGAAAATGTTTCAAAATATATCATAAAGACCGAGATAATTAGGTTCAAAGTTAACGTTTTGCGTGGGCTTGGCTTAGAGGAAATACAGTAATTTCAATTAGGGAAAATTCGAAATTTTTCCTAGACACCTGAAAAATTTTCAGAACGAACCACCACCGCCACCACCGATTGTAATCTGTCCGACGGAAGTGGATCATATTAATGTGACTCTTGAGAAAAATCAACAATGTAAATGCAAGGTAACTGAATCACTTTCAGATTTAAGGTTAACCTTGTGTTTTTTAGGACTGCGATAAACTTTTTAACTCGGTTTGGTATTTGAAACAACACGCTGTAAAACATTCAAATGATCGACCATTCAAGTGCAAATTCTGTTTTAAAACCTACAAATTTCGATCAAATCTCTATCAACACAAATGCCCAGAGCGTCAGAAGTCAATAGCACAACGTCGACGAGGACAGAATATCATTAACACAAAACGGAATGAGACTCAAATCATCAAGACAAGCAAGATTGAGACGGCAATCATGCAAGAGGAGCCTCAAGTCAACAATTTTCCGTTGCAACTTCAGAATTGTTTCTCAGAAACCGAGGATAATGATGCTCCAATTACATATGGGCTGGTGATCCAGAATATGGATCCAAATCAAATGCAGCCACAGTTGACTCTTTCGCAGCAAATGCCACAACAGACTCCACCACAGCAGATGCCGCTTCAGGATATGCAGCAACAGCAACAGCAGCAGACACCACATGAGCCATCACAGCAGCAATCACCCCTTGATTTGCAGAATGTAGGAATTAGAGATTTCAGATTCTTTGTGTTTTAGTGTTGTTGTCTCACCATAATTCTCATTTCAGTATCAAAACTTCCAAATGCAACTTCCGCCATCAATCGATCCTTTGATGAACGACATGGAAAACTGTTTCGACAAGCAGGCGGATTTCGATAGCGTACGTGGAGAGCAGCTCCCATTGCAACAGATTGAAGACTACCTTGAGAAAAACAAACATAAGGTTAGGGATCACGCGGCGACGATACGTCCTTTACTCTATGTGACACCTAGAATGCGCTTGCAGATCTTCTACGGTCTTGTCCCAGGGTTCCACTCTAGCATCACTACTCTGTTTTTTTGATCACACACTCAGACACTCAGAACAAAAAATGACTAATGCTTTCTTTTTTTTCGAAACGAAATGTCTGAAGTGTGTTTTCAGTCACTATATAGCACCATCCATACATGTCTCCCGGTTAGTCATCATCCCCTAAGTCGATCGGGTTGGACTGTCTGTCCCGTTTTCCTCCTTCAAAAAACATGCACAGAAATTCCTTTTCATTTTGATTAGAAACTATTCTCACTCTCCAGCCCCCAATGACACGGTTTCGTCCCAAGCAGCACCGGTTTCCACGTATTGTTCGCCTGGTTCTGTTATTTTTTTTAGACAAAACTCTGAATTTAGAAATACACGAGAGACTTCAGTTATTAGAATGTTTCAAGGGAAATTTCAAAGTTTGGAGAAAAAGAGGGAAGGATGATTCAGACACCCTTGCTCACACCTCACACTTGCGTCGGAACCAATTCCTTTAGTTAGTCATGACTGGTATAGGCTGGCACACTGACCCAGTTTTGCGGCATTTTTCATCTTTGAGTTCCACGAAATGAAATTGAAATTTCCCTTTGATCTATGTAGCACCAAAAAATAGGGGAACGGGGAATGAAAACGTTTGAAATAATTTAAGGGACCCATACCGTACTATCAAGGGAGGAAGGTGACTGAGCATGTATATTTTTTGTGAGAGTGTTGTATCAAATGGAGTGTTCTCATCTTCTCAACAAAATTATTATTCACAGTTTCTAACTCTAGCAAAATCATCATAATGAAATAAAAAACAACACTTTAATAGAATTAGTGAAGAACTTATAAGAATCACCATAACAATATTATCAGCTTATCCTGCCTTTTGTTCAGTCTAACCACCCACTCACCTCCGATTCCTATCGACTTTTTGTTCAAACCCTTATCCTCATTATTTAGCTATTCTCGTGCCGCAAATGCCGTGTCTTCCTGCCAACCGAAGAAGCTTTCATGAGACATTCAGCGTCTCACAATGGCGAAGATTTATTTCCGTACAAATGCACACACTGCCGTCAAGCGTTCGATTGCGAAAAAGAGCTGATGAGACATTGCCAGACACACGCGCCAGAGGAGGGTGTATTTAGATGTTATGAATGTTGTGGTCAATTCAAGAGCCAATATGCTCTCCGACGCCATCGGGATCAGTGTCGTCCATGCTTTGTGCCACCGATGCAGAACAGCATCGTGAGTGGTAGAAGAAGAATTTTCAAATTATATGTTAACAATTTTCAGATGGTATCCGTACAAACTCCATTCGACCCATTCTCATTCATCCCAGACGACAGCTTGTTCCTTCCAGTTTGCGACGACCTTTCAACCGTCGGAACTGATAGTGGAATGGGAAGTGAAGGATCACCAAACAGCATGTCACAAGCTTCGCCTGAAAGAAATGGAATGGATGACACGTTCAGCTTCCTCAACGGTAACAAGAAGAAGGAGAAGGAGGATGATGAGGATTCCGGATTCCGTTCTCGTCTCAACTCGGTGACCCATTCTTGCTCACCAGACTCATTTTCTGATTCTCACTGCGATTCGCCACCACGAAAACTGTCTGGAGGCAGTGGACTCGGAGCTTCCTCATTTCTTGGTGGCTATGGAACCGGCCCAACTTATGGTCAGCAGATGATTTATGACAAGAGCATTGATGAGATCGATTGCGACAGCTACGGAGCTATGATTAAGGACACTCCATTGATGTATCAGCAGCAAATCATTTCTTTGAGAAGTCAAGAAGTCAATGGAAATGGTCTGATGGTTGCCCCAATTATTCAGTACCACATGCAGCCAATGTCAATGAAAGGTACTACATAAAATAGAAAGTTTCTAGAATTTTAATTCCGAAATTTTCAGAGTTCTTTCAAACGCAACCCTCCACATCAGATGCTGACACTTTTGAAAGCTTCGAGAATGATAGCCACCCGTGGAAGAATGATGGTTACGATATGCCAGCAGTAGAAACCTTAGAAGTCAAGTAAGTTGATTCATCTGAAACATTTTATTTATTAAATTCCGAAATTTTAGAGAGCTCGCCGCTGTGCTGATAGCTATGTATTTGTGCAGTGCCGCTGATCAATGTAAGTTCCAAGAAAAATATTAATTCTAATTATCGTGTCTACTTTTAGTGTCGGATGTGCTCTCAACTCTGGCATCTCTTTCAATTCATTAAAGGAACAATCAGCTATTCTTCGGAAACCAACATATTTCTACTATTCGACTCCATTCATATTGGTTCCAAATCTCACTACCCCAACAAAAAAGTCTTTCACAAAAAGCCAGGTAACGGCCCCTGGTTGTAGTTCACCTAGCGATTTCATTTATTTGGTTGTCCTGTATTTATCATGGTTTTCCTTCTTCAGATTTCTACTCGTTTTCACCCCAACCCTCGTTTAGCTGTTACTTGTCTCTCTATCTGTCTCTCTCTCTCTTTTTTCAAATACCAGATGTCTTTCAAACACCCATCAACCCTAGTGATCTTCCAACCCTTCAATTCGTTTATTTTTTAAATTTCACTCACGTTCTTTCAATCCCATCAACAAATGTAATCTCATACTACTGGCTAGTTCCATGGGCTAGCTGAACAGAATGTCTTTCATTATTATTATTGTATTCTGCCGTTTTGTTGATTTCTCTCAAATTTTTGAAAAAATTGAGAATTCAACAAAACGACAGAGCAATTCAAACCGTTGTGATTAATAATCGCTCCCCGTCTGAAACTAAATTTTCCCGCACCTTTCCCGATCCCTTGAACCCGAACCCAATTCTCTCCTTGAAACCCGCTTAATTACTTTATCGTGATTGTTATTTTTCTCTATTGTGTCTTCGGTGACTCTAACTCCGATTTTTCAGAAAACTTTCAGTTTAAAAAAAACTCTCGATTGATAGTTCTCTGAAAAATCCTTAACAATACCCTCTCACGCCAACCTGAAGATCTCAAAATGGTGGTTTTGTTCTGCCCCATTCTTAAGAACCAAATACTCTGAGTACCCATCTTGCGCACAGTTCTTTCTCCTTCTCTCTCTTCCCAAAGCTTTCTTGAATCTTATATGATCTACTCCAGATGCCTATCAATACAGTTAAATTTGTTTACTTACTATTTTTTGTCACAAATCCCTATATTTTTATCTCTCTTCTCGTATTGTTCCCACTCCGGTACTTCATGACTTTTAATTTTTGCTGCATGACCCCTCCTTGAATCCTTGTATCATTAAGTACCATGTTTCCCCTGTCCCATTACTCTCCCCATCCCCACCCCAACCCCAAAATCTCTCGAGTTTATACTTTAGTCGGCGTCTTTCATTATCGTGTACCTAATCTCATCCCTACCAATACGTTTCTCAAAACAACCACTAATTATTTAAAATCTGTAAGTACGCTTTTGGTCCCGGATCAGTTTCTCTCTCACAGTCATTAATTATTATATACCCACATGTCTTTCTGTTTTCCTAGTTGGAAACATGGCGCCAATTCCAAAAATTCTTCTTTATTTCTTTTTCAAACAGTCAAAGTTTTGTGCTTTTTCTGTATGCTTGTTCGATTTATTTTCTAGTCACTTTTCCGTCAAAAGGTGCCCATTTCATGTCATCATTCTGAAATTCATTGAACAGCAATGTTAAATAAATATTTATGGGAAAAACAAATGTTTCGAATTTACACTTAAACAGGTAGTATGAACGGGTCTTTAATTTCAAAACATTACAATGAAAACTACAATTACTTTTGAACTTTATTTTGGAAACCTGGAATGAGGAATTTTACAAAGAACGAAAATACAGAGAACAGAAGCAGGTTTTTTCAACAAGTTCCAGTTGATGACTGTGCAGACTTTAATTAGTTTTTTTCTTCATTTCAGATTTCCGATCTCATATCATGTGAAAGTTAGGAACAGTGTGATCTTATGTGAATCATGAAAAGAAATGAGTCAAGCCTCGTTTTCCCACAGAACCTGACAATGATTTATGTCAAAAAAGTTCGAAACATGAGAATAAAAACAACAAAAATTCACCTGATGTCAGATCGGAATCTCGAAAAAAAGAAATAGGTGACGTTGGTTCTGTCTCCAAACGTACATCAAAAAAGGTGCATCTAGCTCTTAGGGCAGATCGGTTTTAAAGGATTTTATGGTACCTGTAAAAAGACGAAAAAAAAATTTTACAGAACATTTCGTTTTGGGCTCAAAACGATTGGCTTAGGCTAAAACACCGTACGCCACGAAATCCAATGTACCCTTGAAACAAATATACCCTAATGACTCGATGTACATTCGATGAGCCAGTTTTGATGTACCCTCGGATCCTAGGTTGATGATATCGTATAAACAAAAATAGACGGAAATAACATATTAAACTTTCTGAGAAAAAATCTCATCTTCCCATAACAATTTCGAATATAGATGTTTGACTGTAGCTTTATCAAGTCAATCCTCTTCAAAAAATACTTGAATTAAATCCGCCCGAAAAAAAGAATCCTTTCCTTTTTCTAGGAACTGACTTACTTTTGTTCCACTTCACATCAAGTTCATGTTTCTTATTTTGCTGTTCCCTCTTTTTTATTTCAGAAATCAAAACGTAAATTTTAGCAGTGATTTGTGACATCGTAATGTGTATGTAGATACGATTTTCAATTCTAATAAAGGTTACGAAAAACACCTGGGTATGTGCAAACGCTGTATAGTTGTGAACAACTGTGTTAGCTTTTTAAATGTTTCGAAAATGTTTCGGTTTCACAACCCAAAAGTCTGATGATGTGAGAAAAATAATTTCAGTTTCTTTGTTATTCTTACGACCTGAAAAACGGAGAGAAAAAATGACATCAAGGTTCGATTTCAATGTTTCACGTCTTCTAATTACGCAATGATGAGTAGCTGGATCCTCCCCGATGACATTGCTGGCAACACAAACATTCCCGGATGCTCCAGAAAATGAATGAGTAACAAAGAAGTTTCTGGGCTTTCCTCCTTCCATTTCATTTCATTGTGGTTATACGATTCTATTATACGATTCATTGTTCCCCTTTCAGAAAAATAGGAAGAGAAAATGAAAAAAAAGAGATGGTGATGATGAAGAGGAAGCAATGCAGCGGAACACGTGGGTGCATGTTACGAGCCTCTGATTTTTCTAATCAACATGATGAATAGTCAGGTTTGCATGACTACCTGCATCTAATCAACAGCTTCATTCATGCAGAAACCGTATAGTGATTAGAGGGAAAATGCGTTACTACTATTTTCTAGTTAGAGTAGTATGTATCGAAAAGTCTGAAAACTAATAAAAATTCTGACATCCGAAAAGAAAACTATGAATGCGAAAAAACTAAGAAAAGCCACGAAGAAAAAAACAAGTCAAGTGTTTGAAGTGGGCAACAACTTCTAGGAACACTTGTGCATTTACAAGCTCATGATCAAGGAACGCATCCAATCTTGTACGAATCTTGTACAAATTTCCTGATACTTTTCCGCTTTTATCAGTCATTTACAGGTGGACTCTTCATTCATTCAAACACACAGAATATAACAATTGTTGTCTGGCAATAACCGATGGACACAGGTTCTGATGGTGGGGAGAATAAATGAGTGGAAGCATGGGAAGAGGATAAAATATCAGTTGATTTTTGTCTGCAATTCTGATGATTCAAGGAAGAGAAATAATACAATGCGTGCGTGCTGGGAAGGGGGGAGTTTGAGTTGAATTGATTCACTAATAATGTGGCTGATTCAGGTTTTTTTTGGTTCGTTTTTATTAACAGTTAGATTCAGAAGTTATACATGCGAGTTGAAAGAGAGAGAGAGAAACTGAGAAAGAGAGAACAATTGCGTTGTTGAAAAAGATCGACGAGACGAATCACACACAGGAAGTAGTGATCAGTAGTCCCACAGGAACCGAGATGGTGGAACATCCTGTCCTCCGTTGTTCCTCTTGAAGAACCTGGAAATGGAAACCTTGTGAATTCCTGGCATCTTGAAATAATCCTACCTGATACTTGGCTCCCGGCGAGACCACTTCTTCTCCATTCCGTAGAATGGTGAGACGTACGAGGCGACGTCATCCGCAGAGCCAACATCTGCTCCGGTGGTGAGTGCGGCGAACGCGTTGGCGAAAAGAACAAAGGCGAGAAGAGTTGCGATCCAGTGGCTCATGGTAGCAAAGAGTAGGGAAGACTATTACCTGAAACGCAAGTAGATGTGAGAGGGGTAGGATGATATTTGATGAGGAAAAATGAAGGATCAGACAAAGATTGAAAATTAGGGAAGATCAGTTTCATTAGCTGGAGGCTTAACTATTACAACACTGTCATAAAAGACGAATAGATGTATTTCAGCAAGGAAATCTAGGATTGAAGACAAGTCATTAAAAAAAACGATGACATTTCCAGGAAACAACCTCCCAGTAAGAATCCTTCTCGAAGATTCCTAGACGAAGCTAATAAAAGAACCTTTCCCGAGGTTTCAAACATTGCCGCAACATGTAACCTAAGAAAAAAGCACGGAATGTTGAGAGAAATGCGTTTTCTACTTATATTACTCCTATCCTCATATGCCTCATCGAATTAGGCTCAATGCTTGACCACTATTAAGAGTTGTCCTACTATAGCTCAAGACGAACAACAATGATAAAACGAAGGAATGAGCAATACTAATGGAGCACTGATACTAGATGTGAGCTGAAAGGCGGGGCTCCATATCCGAATAAATACTGATCTCGCTTGGTCAATATGCCTTCTAACAATGGGGGCGGAGCTTAAGAGGGGGGTTGGTACTGAGGTCTCGAGGAGCAGCCAACACAGCTCCAGCGAAGGAGAAGAAGAAGAAGCCATCGGCAGATGAAAAAAATAATAAGAGAGGAGAAGATGGAATAGGCCGAAAATTACAGGTGAAAAAAGAGGAATAGCGACGAATATTGTCACCTCAAACCCAAGAAAAAAGGGAGTGCTGAAAATACGAATTGAGAAAAAAAGCTACTGTATCTACGTAGGAGAGAAAAATTGGTAAACATTGGAATCTCTGGAGGATGATGGACAAAATTAACTAGAGCTAGCCAATACAACTAGACGCACCTCCTACAACTACAATTGATGTCTGAAATATATATTTTCTAAGGAAAGCTATTCTTAGAACACAGAAATATATAGAACGCCCAGGGAGATGCAATAAAATTCAGGACGAAAGTGCACATCACATTTATATGAAAAGAATTGGAATTTTAAATTGAAAATTTATTCGCGTCCGAAATTTTCCGACTCAAAGCAGATCCACCTACGCTTTGAAATAAGGGCAATTGTTTCATGTGATGTCATGAACTTTGTGTGCCCACCCAGATCGTTTTTCTCATTGACTTCTTCTTCCTCGTAGAATTTGTCATTTTCCGAAAATTTCTCGCTTGAATGACGTTGAATGGTAAAAGCTAAGCTGATCGAACAAGGTACGATTTATCTAGACAGATTCAGTTCTTATTTCAGTCTGACTTTAAAGCGATTCAGATCAAAAAAAAATCGGCGCTCAAAAAACAAGAAACATAGATCAGATTTCTGTTGTTATTAGAAACAGGCGTAAGCCTGATAAGAAGATAACGAACATGACGCATCACAACATTTTTTGCATGATGCGGTATCCGTTCTGATCGTACAGGAAGCAAAACATGTTAGCCCAGACAAATTTCAGTAGACTAACAAGCTTATTAGTTTTGCACTTTTCAGATTCCATTTCAAACAATGATGATTTCTTCTCTGTGTTTTTTCCAGTCGAAAACAAAGAAATTCAGGTTACAGCTAATCCAATCTTCCGCAACCGCCCTCACTACTTCATAGTTCCTCATTTTCGTCATGTTTGTCTAATGCCGCGTGTTTTATATGTTTGACATCATCACAAGTAATATTGGTTTAGGTTCGGTGACTTGAAGACGTCGTCGGATTCAGAAAAGAAAGAAAAACATCTGCACTTTGAAAACAATAGAAAGGGATCCCATCACATCAGACTTAATTCAATTTCCCGGACCTCCTTCATATGACTATAACTATTACTCTGAAAATTGGATATTATGAAAAAGGATAATTTGAAATTATTGGAAAAGGAGACAGATGATTGCTCATTAACTTCCGTGGATCGCTGAGTTCTTTTTTCCCACTATATTCCTTCTGTCTCAATTAAAAACCGCTTTTAGTTTTATTTTCACTATTTTTTCCATTAGGGTAAAGTTTTTCCGGTTGGATGAGCTGCGCTGAGCTGTGCGCACATTCCGAAAAGTAAGGACGTTTTCGTCCAAAATAGAGTCATAAATCAGGGATTCGAATTTCAATCTTGAGTCACGGGAAAATGAGAAAAAAAGAAGGAAAAGATAGAATATAGTGAAAGTGAGGTTGACGTATTCCCAACCGAATCCACCCGTTGCAATCCCATCGAAATTGGTTTTTGGCAGAAAGAGAAGCGGATTGTTTTCCGTACTTTTGTTAGGAATTCTAGAAAAAAAACTTCTACCAATAACAACTGGGGTACAATAAATTATACCTACAATGTTATGTTTTTTGTATGAATTGAGTTGGCGTAGACGTTTGGGTACGTCTAGACACCAGTGATCCGATTGAAATTATCGGGTCCTGAGAATTCGAAATATGACCGGAAATTTGACTCTGATTTGAATGGATATAAAGTGACAGGAGAAGCAAGAAATCATGCTCTGAGTGGAAAACTTTGATCTGATAGTTTTCAGTTAATTTCAAAAATACCTGGAAACAATACATTCCTAGAAAACGTGATTTGGAAAATTCAGTTTGCAGAATTGAGGCTCAACAAGCCAATTTTGTTTTCCCTCATTACGTCAATAAATCAAACACATTACTAAAATTCGTTACTTGAAAACTAAAGCTATTTTTTTACCTGAAGAAAAGAATTTTTAGTTCTCGGAACACTAAAATTGAAAACAGGGATGAACTGAAAACAAGAAAAATATCAACGCCTATTCCTAGAATTAATTTTCAAAAAATTAATATTGTTACTATTTTCAACACGCATAAAAAAGTTTCCGCTTTTTTTTCTATTTTTAAAATTCATTCAATTAACATTGTTTCTGAAAATTTGACGTCTACACACACAAAATGCGTTTGATGACTTCACGACTCTGGACAGCTGAAAATGTACAGAATTCGGTTAAGGTTGAAATAACATTTGGATTCAAATGATCAGGATCAAATCAATTCTCAGTGAACACTTAAGGGGTTTCACGGAATATTTGGAAAACAAAAATAGAAAAAAATCGGAACAAAAAAATCCGAATTTTTAGTCTTAATTTTTAGTCCAGCTAAGAAATTTATAATAATAAAATGGGAAAATGTAAAAGCTGGTAATCCTCAGCAAATCTTTTCAGAATACTCGTCAACAGAATACACGTAAATAGATATCAGTAATAAGACGGATTACGTATAACAATATAGAACTCGTGAATATTTTGAACGGATATCCGCACTTTATACAAATTTACAAAGATTATTGGCTTAATGTTTTTTTGCGCCTGCTCTCCACAGCATTCAAAACAAGTTAAGAATCATAGCAGCAAGTCAAATTTGACTAAATGGCAAGAGCTCATAAAACATGATTATAAGGGATAGTGTAGGTGTAAAGTTCAAAGAAACCGGAGTTTCGAAACCAAGAGGAGATGGAGTGGAAAAATGGTCGGGGGAAGAGAAATGTCAAAATAGAAGATGTCGAAAAGCAAAAGATTAGCAAGGAAAAGTTCAAATGAGGTCCCTCCACTCATCCATCATTTTTCCATTTTCCGAAAAAGTGATGAACGCGTTTTTCTGAACGTTGATGGTTGAAAGATCGCTCGTGGAAATCGAAAATAAGGAATGATGTCTAGGCGGAATAAAACGTGAAAAACCAAAAATCTAATTTATTTTCCGTTTAAGAATCCGTTTTTCTGATAAATACACATCTCATCCCTCGATGTTCAATTAGTTCTGCATTGAAGGTTTTCTATGTAACAGGAGAATGACAGAGTAACAAATAACTGCTCATGATTCAAATCACAATTATTGTATTAGAATTGTATTTATGTGAATCATCACAAAATTTCGTTCTTTGCCAGAAAAAACACAATTTTTAGATATTTGATTGAGGAGACATAATTGAAAACAAACATCTAAATTTATTTGGATCATTTATGAGTATGTGGACTACACATACAATTGAATATGAGTTCCAAACTTCAGAATCAGAGAAAAACAGACATGAAAGGAAGAGCTGCGATCACGATTTAGACGAATTTTGTCTTCAAAACTCTGACATGGAAAAAAATGGAGATTCTCAAAAATGGAACTTTCAATTGAAATTGGAATAAAAATGAGCAATTTCGATTGAAATTGCAAATTCGAGTGAAATTCGAGCTGATCTGATCATCCAAAGTGAGATTGTTCCAAAAATGTTCCTAGAATGGTCCCGATATAGTCAACTGTAAGCCCATATATATATCATTTTCTGTGAAAAGTATCACAAAGTCAACTGACAAGATGTTTATCATAGTTTCAAAAACATTTAGTCAATTTACCACTTTGTGATATTTCTCACAAGAAACTAGAAAAATTGTCACAAATTGAAAGGGTAAGTAGTCATTCTATTAGAGTGTTTACCGTATTTGACTTTTGTTATTTTTTGCCTACTTTTTTGATCATGTTCCTAAAGAGCCCCTTGTTTTTGCGCATTCTTTCAAAACATTCCAGATAGATCATTTTCAACTTTTATAGCATCCATTCGTCAATTGAACTTCATTCTTTTCTCATTGATTGTCTTCACACTTGCTCTACCTCCTTCCTACACTTTCACATCGCTCACACATTTACCTACTATTTTTCTAAACTCAAGTTGTCTGATAGCATCGTTTTCTTCCCGTTAATTACTCGTTCTCCGTCTTTCTAATCAATTTCGTTTTCTGTTTCTCCCGTAATTTAAAAATTTTTGCTCTGCTCTGAAAATGTCTTTGGAAAACCTATTATTTGCACTTGTTGCCGTGATTTTTGTGATTTCATTATCGAATCTATATAGATTACTCATAATTGAGAGGAAATCGCCTGATTATAACCTACATCAACTCAACAAATACAAGACTAGGTACATCTCTGTATATTAGCAGAAAATCCGAGGAGCTGAAAAAATTGAGGGAATCAATAAATGACATCTTTTCATGAATTCTCTTTTATGTATATATTTTGTAAACTCAATAAACATTGTTTTCACAAAGCGATTAGTTTATTTTCTTGTTTCCAAATTTTTCCCAGCTCCCAGTGTATAAGTTTTATATTTATGACGACAATAGACAAGAAACCGTTTCGTATACGTCCCATTTTTCTAGATAAAAAACGGGAGAAAAGTTCTTATCGCCGAAAGAAGTTTTTTCGATGTTATCCAATTGAAATATGGCCTGATGTAATTGATATGTTGGACTTCAACCCTGTCAAAAAGTACTTCTCTGTGACTACCTCCTGGAAGAAAATGAAATTCCATGAAAACTTCATTGTTGATGAAAACAAAACAAATTCTCAGAACCGTTCATCTAACTATTGGTTAGCTACTTGTGTCTCCTTCTGATTGAAAGTGTTTGTCTTTATGTACGAATTAACCAGGTTTAGGTTAGAAGATGCCCAACGGCTGTACAATGGACCATGCGCTGATTTTGATCGAAAGTTGAAATTTCAAACATACCTATGTATGTCGGAAGTTTTTCCACAAGTTTTTCGGAGTATGCCCGGCTTTCAGGTACAATTCAATATGTGATCGAGCTTTGGCGGAAAATTGCTGGCGAAGCCCTTATAACTTGACGAACGATTTAATGAAGGGGAGATAGAAAATGTTTTGGGCGATTTTGAAGTTACGGTATCGAATTTGACGTGACGGTGTACAGCGATTAGTGTTCGCACAGAGCATATCTGTGCCGCTTTCGTAAATAACATCTGTCGGCGGCGTAGCTTGAGCCACCGTAGTTCATCCGGTAGCGGCGCCGCTTCTTGAATATTTGTTCCAAAAGTTAAACTCCTCCTTTCTTATCAGTGTGACTTCATAAGCCCTACCTTTTCCAAACTGGGTGGTAGATTGGTTATTTTAAAGCTGTCCGGCAAGCAGTCAATCCTAGTATGCGAGGCTCATATGATCAAAATTTTGAGAGAGGTTTTTTAAAATCATGGTTACCTATTTTTAAAGCAATGCTTGGCCGGAAGGGTCTTAACAGGCTTTTCGGAGTATAATTGGCTTCAGGTGCGGTACAATCCGAAATCTGACTGAGGTTCTACGAGAAGTTGTGGCAAACCTTATTAAAGAAATACATAACTACAAGTTCAAATGCTAGACCGTACCTGAGTTTTTCTAAACAATTTTTTAGTGACTGATAATTTTTTTGAAAAAGTGGGCGTACCGTACCGTTAAGAACAAGGAACCTGGCACACCAGACCTGATAAAAGCCCTCGAACTTTAAGATAACAACAAAAAATCTCATTCAATTTTCATTCCTATCTCACATAGTAAAATTCATTTCATGAACTAAATTACTGTTTCCAGATGATCAAAGTCTTATACTTCGTGTTCACTGCCCTGGTCACCATACTAATGCATTTTTGGTGTTATGGGTGTAAGTACTTCTGATTATCTGATTCGAATAGTCAGTATGATTTCAGCTCTAGCTGCGTATCATTTAACAAGATCCGAACAATTTGCAAAACGGCCAGACACGGACATATATAGTTTTTTGTTTGGAATGGTTGCCATAGATGGTTACTTCAACATTGTGTTTGCTCACATGGGAATCACTGCCAAGAAGTATGTGTCCCAAAGAAATCAGGAAAGACAGAATTGATTACAGGATCGAGGATGGTATATTGTTTCCTTATACGCTATTCCGAGCTGCCATCTTTCTGGTTATACTTTTAATGCAGGAAAACAGCAGTAAGCTTCGGTGAAAAAGGTTTTCTGTGTGAAACAGAAATCATTTCAGATCTACTGATTGGTCAGTTTATGTTGGATATAATGGCAACAAGCGTGTTCAATTGCTTCTCGGAAGTAATCGACGAGACTGTCAATGAAGTCAGCGGAGAAGAAGTGGACGTGGAAAAGAGAGAACTGATTCCAGAGGATAAACATTGTTCTGCGTACGCCAAATTTCTCTAGAATCCTTACTTCTGTTCCAACTTATCACGAAAAAATCTTTGTCTAGATTCTTAGATATTTGTAAATCTGATTTAAGTAAAATAATTTTCTCAATACGTCTTTTTCCCAGAATTCACAGTGACCAACATTGTGGTCAAATATGATTACAAATTCTAAACAGTGGCGCGAATACTTCTTATCTTCGAAAAATTATTGTCTGATTGATGGCAACAACTCGAGAAAAAACGTCTCAACGCATTGAATGATAAACACTGTGTGATGAAAAAAGAAGAAAAAATGTTCACCACAGATAAGAACTGTACAAAAAACCTTTAGCAGCTAGAACATTGTGACTGTTATTCAGTGATAAGGTTTACAAAAAGCGGAGTGGAAAAGTTAAAAAAGAATTGGAGTATAGCCTTTGAAGCAATCAGGAAATCGTTACTTCGGTAGTCTTCGCAGATCGGAAAATACCAGACTTGTCAGCATTGAGTGAAAATTCGGGTGCACTAATTTCTCAGTTCATATAAATTTCAGAAACACGGATTTTTGTCTTGTTATCAGATCTCCTGTTATTGTATTATCTGAGGAAACTGTGTTACCGATTTGATGCAAATTGTAGGATGGCTTCCTCATTTTGGATAGAATAAGATATCAAGAAAATGGAATGATTAAATTATTCTTCTGGTAAAGTTTTCCTTCTCCACATGACTCCTCAGAGCAGTATAATTGAAGATAACATTATTTATCACGGACGTCAATTATTCAATCACAACATTTGCTGTCAGAAATGTTTTTTCCGTAAAAACTTCCTTATCAAAAATCACAGTTTTCCACATACCTTTAATGAAGCTAGCAAGAATTTTGTTGTCACGGTTGACCTCACGAGATAGGGTACTAGGATTGACTGCTTGCCGGACAGCTTTAAAATAAAATCTACCACCCAGTCTGGAAAAGGTATGGCTTATGAAGTCACACTGATAAGAAAATGAAGGAAAAGGAAGAAACGGAACAGTTTACTGAGTACATACAAATTGTTAACAAAATATGAATGGTAATAGAGAGTGTTCAGCAATCATTATTGAATGGTAATATAGAGTGTTCAGCAATCATCATTCACTTGTTACATCTGTTTTTGGTTATTTACCATATCTTGCCTAATAGAAATTTTCAAAGATTTGCTGGCATTGAATGAGGCTACCAAAGTAGCACCGGAACTGCAACCGGTACAAAACCGTTCGCAATGATTACAGACCGTGTCTTAATCGGCCATTGAAAGTTTTATTGTATGTTCTCGATTTACTATCAATTGAAACAAAACGATTTTTTCAGAAAATGTAATTGCCCGAATTCGTTTACAAATAGTTTCCACTTTTCGAAGAATAAATACTTCTCCGAGCCAACTTTTCCAGATAGACATCAATTTTGTTTACAATTTGAAACATCGATGCACAGCAAATCAATTCTCAAAACGACTACTCTTTTTTATGTTTCGGTTTGATAAAATAAAACCGATAACAGTCAACAAGTGAAACTAGCGACCTACATTCCCTTTTTGGAGCGTTTTCTGGCCATTTTTGTTTCAACTATGTTGTCCAGCACATATTTTATTGTGCAGTTTGTTTTCTCACTCATCTCAGCAACAGTGATAATCACCCGTGAGTGAGCTCAAACGGGCTTTCATGTTTTCAAAATGCATTTTCAGACTCGGTCATGACTGAAAAAGCTTTCAATGAAAAAATGATAAATTTCCGAATGATCATTAGATTTGTCTTCGTTGGTTTTCATGTCTTGTTCCTCAGCACTCATTTATTCCATGTGTGTTATCCAGCGAAGCGAAAAAGGTGAACTTATTCTGACTAAATTTTTCACATAAGATTTATTATAGAACATCCAGAAACCAATTTCTCATTCACCTAATTCAGAGACTCTCGTTAGTACTTATTCAGTTTCTGCTCGTGAGTTCACCAATGCAATGTAAGTTTGCTGACTTCACAACTCAACCAGAAACCAATATTTTCAGTGTTCCTGTTTTGCATGCTGCTTATCGATTTTGTTGTCACCTCCTCGTATATTCTTGACGGAAACGATGGAATGAGAATAACACCCAGAATTGTAGATCCCGAGCCGCGGCCAATGTTGATGTGAATGACCCACATAATATCTGTATAATCTCCATGATGACTCTTTGCTGTTGAACAATATATCTCATAAGAACGTAGGAGCTATTGAGATTCATCAATCTGAATAGTTCTCTCGGTTGCACACAGATGCCCTTATCAGCGATAATAAATTTTTTTAAAAAAAATCACGAGGTTTTCGATTTGATGAACGATGGAAACTGTGTAAAAAACGAAAGTATTATAGTGTCGGTAGCAATAAAACTGTAGTTCAGTTCAAAACGACAGTAGAGGGGGACGAGTAGTTGAGGGAGCAGTTGGGGAACTTTGATGATTGGACAATTTCATTTCAGACTGGAATTTCTTCTAATGATTATTTTAGACATCAATAGACCTCTCAACATGCTGACAGATCGACAGCTCGCCCCACGTATGCCCTCTTCAAAAAAAAACAGTACTGAAAAATCAAATGAAAAATAAATTGCTATTTCCGAACAACCGCAAAAGGAGCCATAACGTTTTTGAACTTTTGCAGATACCGTGAAACTCTATTGAATAGCTAAGGAATTCTATTTTGGAGGTGGTTTGGGTTGGCACTGTATTAGGGAGTGACCTTCAATTAGAGATTCGAATTTTATTTTTTGGCACCTACTGATACTCATCACAAACAATGTTCGAAATTTTTCTTACTGTTAAACTTTTGAAAATATCATGGTTCCTCATTGAATAACTATTGTTTTGATCTTTAGATTTTTCAGTGTTATCATTAAGCCAAATGAATCGTTCGGAAATCTTCCAAGATTCGTTGCTTTCCTGATTCATTCTACTGCTTCCGACGTTCCAGAAAAATGCATGAACAACTGCCCTGTTTTGCGAAACCCTGGCTTTGAATATCAATTCGCATAACTTTGGATTGATAAGTTCCTAAAACTTTTGAATGTTTGCAAATTTCGTGAGTTCCAAATTTGAAGTACTCTCAAAATACAAATCTCCTATTTTTGATTACGCCACCGTAGTCCCACTAATGCTCGTCTTCAGATGGAACACGATAAGACCCTCTTCACCTATTTTATTACCAATGCGCCTTCAGTGTTTACAACCTTCGAGCCTTCCCACTCCGACTCTTTTAGGAGAAATATCAAGAACAAAACGTGATCCACCTGAAGACAGAACATTGTCACACTTTGCTGATACATGAAGGCGGAGAGCTGAAATGATCTCGACGGACTGGTGCGCAGTGCAGATCACTTCATCATTCAGTTTTTCTTCCGTTCGGTGGTCTATAGCGACCCTTCTCCTTCTTATAATTATTGATATTTTCAGGTACAATGATTAATCGAAAACCTCGAGAGGAACTGCAACATTTTCCTAGAGATAATACCACTACAACAAATAGTGGAGAAGATCACATGGATTCGCAGCAAAAACCAGTAGCCAGCAGAGTTAGATTATCTCAAAGTGAGTTTAGATTTCACTATGACGCAACTACACAATGACTGTTGAGCCCCAATCGCTTGAAATGCAATAGCAAAAATAGGGTTTATTTTATATTAATATTTTGATGAAATCCACTAAAACGGTTTTAATCATTTCAACCCAATATATGACTTCTGAACCAACTCATGTTGTGGTTCCCACCAGACCATTCATCATTTCACAAAGTGGATAGTTATCTTAACGATATGGTGAAATTGCAGCTTCGTACCCTCAACGACAAATGATGCCCACTCTACCAGTACATTTGTTGCCTGGCATGTTACCAATCACGCAGTTCAACCCATTTTATACTTTCTCTAGGCTGGCTCCAATGATTATGGTGAGTTCACATTTCCAGCAAAACTTCTTTGAAACACAAATCAAAATTTCAGCCTCCTCACTTACCTTTTTATCCGGCTACCAACATGCGAATGAACCCAATAAATTTTATGGCAATGCAAGCCATGACACCTCAATCTCAGTTGAACGCTCCTTTCTCTGGTGCTGTCCCCACAAATATCCCAATGGTTCCATTTCCCAAAGCAATGCAATCAAAGTCATCAAATCAGATGAATACAATTCCTTGGACCGTTCAAAAAAGTCCTATTATGTTGTTTCTCAAAGAGAACAGAAAAACTGTATTAGAAGAAAATGGAAATGATCAAATGACAGCATCCGCGTTAAATAAAGAGCTCGGAAAACGTTGGCATAATTTGTCAGACGAAGAGAGACGGAAATATTCAAACCTGGCGAAAATTGAGAAACAACTGCACAAAGAAAATCATCCTGAGTGGTCTGAAAGAAATAACTACACCAAGAAACCAAAGAAGAGAATCAACGGTGAGTTGCATCCTATAATGTAAAAATTCCGTTGCAAGTTATGAACTGCCCCGTTTCAAAGGAGATTCGAAATTGCCGTTCAAAAAGTTATTTGTGTTGATAGTTTTGATTTCAGAACCTACTCAATATCTTGTAGAAATGTGTCGTGCTCGATTCGGAATTGATAACAAGTCAAAGTGGTGCATACATTGCTTGCGCAAAAAGAAATGTATCTTATCAAGAGTTCTGTCGGAAATCCCTCCGACTAATAATGAGAAAACAACAAGCGAAATTCCACTCATTGGTACAAGAAGTTCGTTATCAAGCGGAATGATGCCGATAGACTTATTGCTAAATCAGGTTGCTCTCAAACTCCAGTCACACGCAGAAAGTCTAACAAACTCGGAGGCGAGAGAAGAAGGATCATAAAGTTAATTGGACACGAAACTACCACAAAATCTCACGATGCACAAATCCTTGGGCTTTCTTTTGAAATGAAATCATGTATCTATATTCAGTTGAATAAGTTTGTTCTTTTTTATGTTTTTTTTGTTGTATGTAATCGATGAACGTTTAATTTATGATTTTAATTGTCTGTTTGTTTCCAACAAATGTTGCTTCCATAAATAAAATCCGAAACTTGAACTCTGGAAAAAAAGTGGTCAGAAAATGCAAGGTGGTGTAAGTGGATGCGACGGAACTGTCCAGCCATATTCAGCCAGATCGGTCTGGGTCTTCTTTCTCGCATGCGGTCGCAGATTGTCATATTGGAAATCAAGTTTTGTGCTTTTCCCTATTGCAGATTAGAGTTGTGTACACATTCGTTTCCACAATCTATGGAATACGAAATAATTTTTCGAAAATTCCATTCCATATTGCACAAATTTCACGTAAACTTGTAGTATTTTCTAGTTTAGTCTATATGAAAAACTGTTTTCTTTTTTTCGCAAAACATTGAATAGAAACCCATAAAATTTATAGGAATTTTATCAGCAAGAAAATTGGTTTCGAAAAAATCCATAAAATTTTGCATATCTCTCCTCTTTTCAACCAGTACAAAAACAAGGAAAATCGACCGACATTGTTGAAATCGACTAAAACTATTCCAATATGGAACAACGTCTCGTTTCTACTTATATTCAATTTCTCTTCTTCACAGGCGACGTCGCCGATCGCATCGAGAAATCGTGGGATGGAATGAAAGTGTCGATTTCGAAATTCTTCGGTCGTAATTGATCTGATAATATTCTTCAATTTTGAATAAATTTCTTTGCAGCAATCGTTCTTAATTGTTCACGGGAAAAATGAGAATTTGAAACATGAACTATAGAGTATTATCTTCTTTTATGGTATGGAGAGAGTATAATAACATCAGAATATTCAGGTGCCTATCAAAATCTCAACAATTTTTTATATTCAGACATTTTCCAACAGATCTCAATTTTTGGGTTGTAGATATAAATCTAGTGACACAACAGCCTGTATAGTTTATGACGGAGGAGTTCAAAGGATTTTTTTGAGTTAGATATACCTGTCGGTTGATTTATGATTTTCTACGTCACCACCTGCGTATTTTTCTCAAGCTATAAAGAACTGAAAAATTTAGATTGCTCCAAAATTTTTATTCAATCCTTTTTTCAAATATTCAAAAATTTTCCCGAAATATCTCGTTCCTATCCGTTTCTCATCAAACACCACGTCTTTCACTTGACACCCATAAACTTTGGGTGCATTCTTCCTTTCCTAATCAAATCCATTCACGTGTTGAGCAAGATGAAAAACGCGAATGCATTGGTTCAAAGAAGGGAAGACAAAAAAGTAAACACCAACTACTACATGATCCTACTCCAATCGAATTTACCCTTTTTTTCTAGCTTTTTCTTGTTTTACCCAGTCAACTTCATCTTTCGAAAGACCTCGATAAATCTGACGAGTTGAGAAAAAGAAATACTCAGGATATGCGGGTTTTTTTGGATTTTTTTTTCCATTTTTCTCACACCTTGTACTTAACCTGACAGCTTTTGAATTCGTCCCAATTGTTCCGTTTCCCGATTTTGCTCTCATGCAGAATGAATTTTAGGAGCATTTTTAGGAGTTTTTTGTCTTGCCAAAGAAGATGGGGGAGGAGAGAAAGGCCGATTTTGTTGGCCTAAGAAAAAAAGGAATCGGGTTGATGCCAATGCGAGAACTACTCCAGACTACTGGTTTTATAGGGTGCTCTCTGTGCGAGGAGTTCTGATTTTCCATCAGATACGCGTCCATTTCCTCTATTGCCCTCAAGTTTTGAGAACGTTTTCTTTTGAGTTAGATGTACTGCTGTTCAAATTTTTATGATCTCGGATTTACCATTTTAATGTAATATTGTATTTTTTTGTGTGTGGTTTGTTGCAAGAACTGTTTGAATCCAGGAATGCAATTGACTTCAGAAAGTCCATAAGTATTGAAAACTGAATATTCTCAAATTCAATGCAATTGTTTAAGCATCAGACCTCATATGTTACAAACTTCAAAAGAAAAGAGTGCTTCCAATTTTTTTTGATTTCCTTCCGTCTATCTCTCTATGGGGTTTATCTTTCTTCCTTCTTCTCTACTCCCCTTTTGTCGCGCCTGCGCTTAATAGTAAAATAATACGAAGAAGTTGACAAAATCCCATGAGAGGTGCCCTCCAGGCTGCCATATTTTTATCTCATATGTTGCTGAAGACACGTTTTTCTGACGACGACAACGGCGACAAAGAAGAAGCCTCCCCTCATCCAGAAAAAACTTCTTGTCTTTTTTTTGCCCCGTGTCGGGTGCCATTTGTTTTTCTGGGGACCACTAATTTTTCAAAAACTGACATAACTGTGCTTTTTGAGATATTCCCTGCATGCAGTTTCTTGATTAATGAATGTTCTGAAATTTCTTCAAAAAGTTGTGTATCTTAACTGGAAGCTTCATTTATCTGGTGGCCTCTAATAGTAAGGCTTGGGAACATCTCCTGCAACAACGGAAAGTCTAGAATTCCAGTTTTCTAACGTGTGACACAAAAACTGGCAGGCTGAACTAGATTTACGATGAATTAGATTTTGTGATACGCTTTTTGCCTCTGAGTTATCTTCCAAATATCTTTCTGTCCGGTCTGTACGGAAACTACAGAAATTGCTCTGACCACTGGTCCCATCGGTTTGGTGTCCGATCACTTTTCGTGTAACTGGGTGCATCGAAAGAATTTTGAGACAAAATAAGAACTGGACAAGAGAAGATGAAGAAGCGGCTAAGGAGTAAGAAGACGAAGAAGACAACGTCGACGGAGAAGAAGACGTCGAAGAAGCGCACCACCAGCACCACGATGTCCGGATGGACCGAGATTTATGAGTGGTGTCGCTTTTTGTCGCCCCTAACGTCGACAAATAACACAGACACTTAGTCGCCCCATGCCCTCCCATTTTGCTCCCCATTCCACGACATACCACTGATTTCACTGCTAAACAAGCAGATGTTTTTTCTGAATCACTTATCATTATTACAGTAGTCCCATCTTTTCACCATGTTTAGTTTACAAAAAGTCTAGAAGACGGTATAAATTTATTTACCAAAAAATACCATTTTCCCTACTTTCTCTTTTCCGAGCAAGGAATTACGGTATATATTTCTCAGTTGTGAGATTTCTTGCTGAAATCAGAATATGCCGTGTTTTTTAAACTCCTACTTTCGGCCCAAAGTTCATATCACAGTCTTCATAGCACAATTAGTTTGCGATGTCTTCAAGAGCTCTTTGGATGCAAATTTGAAGTACGTCTCTTTATTTATACATTTGGTCTCAAAAATCTGTTGTAAAAACTAACGGACTATTAATATGCAAATATGTTTTTTCAAAACAAAATTGGGGTTGTGACAATTGATGTCTGCGCTTGAAGATTGAGCTTAATATGAATCGGAATTTCCACCTTCATAGCGGAAATCAGGTTTCAGCAGAACTTAAACACTATAAGATGCGAGTAGATGCAAGTCTGATTCTTTGAAATTTTTTATTTGTTTTAGTAGTTGTACGATTTTAAAAATTTATCTGATTTGTGACTTCAATTACGAATTGAACAATTTGTTTTTTAATTTTCAAAGTTTTCTTTTCAATACTTGAATTGCCTTTTTTCAGATTGAGTTAGAAGTTGATACAAAATTAACTTGAAAAAAGGAAAACTGAAAAAATGGAGAGATGATCACGTCAATCAATTTTTGAACATATCTATCTTTTCCTACACCGTCAACCTCGTGCTCGCTTATCTCCCTGTGCAAGATATGGAAAATATGTCAACTGATAAATTGTTCATCAAAAGAGTATCATTACTTCTTCAGTGGGCATAATCTGATATCTTTCACAGGAATCGAGATGATTGAGCTTGAAGTTGACGGCTTCAGTATGTTTTTAATAGAGGAAACAGGTATTTATAGGGACAATTTTCATTTGATTCTCATATTACTGTCTGTGATCCCAAATCTCTGAAAGTATTTATTCTACCAATAACTCAAGTCTCTACAATGAGTTTCTTTTTAGTTGCTTTTTCAATACTCTTCCTTAAACCCTCCGGTTGGTCCTCATTAGTTTTCGTTTTTGTTTTTCCAAATGTTCGGGGTCAAATCACTCACATTCCCCCCTATTTGTATTGTTTTGCTCGTCTCTGTTGTTGCATTCCCCGACTTATCAGTTCTAATCTCGTTCTTCTGTTTTTCTTTTTTTTTTCTGCTTGTCTCAACCAAAACTAACTCGGAGGCGTCATCTCCATACTCGTAAATTACATTCACATTGTCCCATTCATCTTTGAAAAACAAGGAAAATGAAATAGAAAAAAAATCTGAGAGAAGAGTAAGAGTAGGAAAGAAACAATCGTCTCTGCTTCTCGATCATATCTTCCTCGTCATATCTGCCGTTAACATGTCAAAGCAATGTCTTCCGAAATAGAAGGAGAGAGGGGTAAAAGAGAAAAAAAAGAAGACAAAGAAAACTTTACAAATTTCAAATTTCAAATTTTGCTTTTTTTATCTTACTCATGTAAAATGGGAATTGAGAAAAGAAGTTATCTTTCTTCGTGAAGTTTTAGAAAAAAAAGAAAACTTTGTCAAACTTCAGAAACCCCATTTTTCATATGAGAAAAAAATGAACGTTTTGTTTTGTCCATTTTTTCCGGGTTTGAGCCCTGAGCCCATCGGAGGATCATTTTTAAACGGCATCTTTCCTCATTTATCTTTTCTGAAGTTTGCAAAAGGGCGCGACGTTTTTGACACATCTTCTAACGTAAGAAACGTTTGTTTCTTTTCATTTCTTCTCTTCTGTGTCCCCACCCCGTCATGCTCATCTTCGTTACGAATAATTCGATCAACTGAAAACCTCTCACGGCAGATTTGATTCTTATAATTGACGACGAACTCACTTTCTGTGAGGGTGGATGAGAGTTCTGGGTGCATTGATTCTTGTTCTTTGATGGAAGAAAAAAGAAAGATGAAGAAGATTGAGGGTGGAAAGGAAACATCTTTTTCTCGTTCATCTTGTTCAAATGTTCAATAATCGCGTTAAATACTTGTCTTTGGAGAGCATGATTGATCAGCTCTTTTTACTCCTTCTTACATTTTTTGTTTCTCATTTGCTACACATGTTTCTGGACATTCCTGACCATTTCTTTTCTTTCTTTTGGTATAAAATACAAATTTCGGAATTATTTTTGTGCTCAATTTTTTTAAAAACTCTATTTTTGGTGATAATTTTCAAATTTCAAATCTAATTTTCTTTAGTTAAACATTGTTTTATCAACCTTTTAAATTGATAAGGGAACCTCAAAACCTTGTAACCCCAGATTTTGAAAGGAATTTGCGGATAAGTTGAGAATAACCTATTCAGAAACTTTGAAAATTTCAGAATCCGCTCTTCAGTTTCAGCTCTTTATCAGCTTCAGTATCAAAAATCGTGTTTTCAGTGAAAAAAATGTTTTTTCAAAAATCTGCTCAACTTCCAGGACATTCTTGAACGTGAAATCTGTTGTGTTGTACTGAGAATTTAATGAATTGTCTTATTTCAGACATTTTCTCGGAAAAATATTATTTTTTTTTTTTCAAAAATTTCCAATTTATTCGAATATTGAACAAAAAACTTTCATACTTGCAACATTTTTTCCATAGATTAATTTTCAAATTCTCAAATACATTTTCATCCAAGGTGCTGAAAATTTTCGAAAAAAAAAACTATATTTCCGAAAAAACGGCTGAAATATGAAGTTTTATTCAATTCTTCAGAAATGCACATCAAACTTCGTGTTCTGAAACGTGCTGTTGAACAAAATTTTGTTACTGAAAATTATAAACTGTAAATACTCTAATAGAAGGTCATCTAATAGAACGCTTCAATAGAAGGCTACACCTTCACTTTGAGCTCAACTATCTCAATTTCTATAAGATATATGAACATTGTGTCTACTGGTAAAATGTTGGTGATATTATGATAAACATTTTATCCGTTGACCAAATTTTGTTGTCGCTTTTAGAAATTGGGATATGTGAACTTGAAGTACAAGTATAGGGTTGTTAGAATATTTACAGTGACTCGGCTGAAACTGGCAAGCTAATTCTGAAATTTCTTAGAACTGTCTAGGTATGATATTTTAAACGAAATCTGATGTTTCAATTTGTAGAGGTTCCCGTATTGTGTTTTTCAGTTCCACTTTTTAAAAATCGCAAACTCTTTTCAATTAAATGTTATATAAAATCAAATATTTCAGCGAGAGGAACCACCAGTAGTATTCATATCGCTTATGGTCCGCAAAACTGGATCTAGGGGTGAGTGTCATATATTTCAAAGTTTTAATTTGAAGACCCAAATGACAAATTCCGGAAATGTCGAACAACGCGAAAAAAGGGCACATTCGAAAATTAATTTAGACGTCATCATTTTTTCCCTTTACTTGAGTACTAATTCCCTTTTGTTTTCCATACCCCAAAAATGGAAAAAAATTGTGTTCTCTCGACATCCCAAGACTCTCACCCAACTTAAACTGTTCTGGTCTCGTCCCATGTTTTTATCCCACATACTAAAGTGTGTTCCTCCCTCACTTTCAATCCGTCAAGGAATCAAGGCCCTTTTGACCCTGAAGACTTAATGGTCTAATAGCGAACATTGGGCAAGTCCCAAGCCAAAAGGAAGAGAAAATAGAGAGTCCGGCAAAGAATACTATGAGAATGTCGGGCTTAACTAAAGCGCCGCCTACTTATTTAAAGCAATAAGCTGTCGAAGAAGTGAGGCTCGAAGAAAAGGAGGAGTAGTGTCCATTGTATTTTTATCCAATTTTCAACCCATCTCAATGTTTTTATCTAATTTGCTCACAAACAAAAACTGTTGCCTCCTGGTGCTCCTCATCATATATTAATTTAGTATTTTTTGTATCATGAATATAGTTTAGCTCATCTTCAGAAGTCTCACAATACACAAATGCAATTGTGGTTGTGCTCAAGTACTAATTCATTTATCTCGAAAACAACATATCCCAGGCTGGGTACCACCACAAGAGAAACAAAAAATGGATGAAGAATATATCCTAGATGATTGATGAGAAGAATTTATGAATGGAAACAACCCCCTTGTGTTGCATGATTCAATTACACAGATCCAACCCCATTTTCATCGCGTACTTACAGTATTCGAGTTGCTCCTCGTGTTGCCGTCAGCTGGTACCATCGACGCGACGACGTGTGGAGTGTAGATACAGAACCACAACAACGGCATGGGCTCGACAGGAGCATCGGCAACCTATCATGCATACGGTGATCTTATTCGAACACCTTCGATTCATCCGCTTATCAGGTAAAGTTGGATTTTTTAAATTCTGGTTTGAACGACACTTTTTTGAAAAATCTTGCATTCTTGTTAATATTAGTTGTTTTTGGGCCAGTTCTTTAATTTATGCGATTGGAATTTGATTCTAATAATTTGACAATATATTCTTGAAACTAAATTCTTGCATGTATTTCTCCAAAGAACATAATCTCATGTATAGTTCCAGAAGCTGTTCGATCAAACAAAACAATTTGTGCAACAAACGAAGTCGACCAATTTCTGACAAGGATTTCGACGATGAAAAAAGTGGTGGGTTTTGCTCATAGACTAGTACGATTTGATCTATCAACACGGGTGCAGCGGCGTGTGAAAAGACACCACCCTCGCCGTAATTCAGGGGTACCATTGGTCCTGTTAGAAGGGACCACACTCTGTTGTGCTTTTTTAGTCTGATACATATTTGTGACATACTATATACTCATGTCGGCTGTACCAGCCAAACAAACTCTATTGCTACAGTTTCAAAGTTTATTGGAGTCTATCAGTAAGTTGGAAGGGTTTTATATAACGGACCGGGTAGGTTGAAAATTAAAAATAATACGGCCATAACCAGGTCGGATTCTGAAATATCAAAATTCTGAATTCTTTAACGGTATTTTCGAAAAATTCCAAAGTTTCGATAATATTGGTAAGGGTAGAATAACTCACTAAACTTGATATAAGGTTAAATTCAATAAACTTTTATCAAGGAACTTCAATTAATTAACTACCCGGGTACTCTGGTCAGCTTGGAAATATGAAAAATATTCGAATGCATATTGTATTTCCGAAAAGCTTGTAATAGGAAGGCCCATACACTTTCAAATTTGAGCTAATTTTTTTTGGAATTTGTGCAAGATCATGAAAATCTGTCCACTGATAAAATAGTTATGATATTGAGATGAACAAATTATTAGTTGACACCTTTTTCATATTCTCAACAGAAAACGAGATGAATTAGCTTAAACTTGAAAGTAAGGGGTCTTTCTATCACAGGTTTTACGTTGATTGGTTCTGATGGAAGGTCAAGAAAATTCTAACTTGCATCTTTAAAAGGGTGTCAAAACTGATAAAAAACGACTGAAAATTATTTATGAACTGTCTGGTTTTCAGTTCAAATCACAATAGTCAAAATGTCCCCTTCATATTTTCACTATCCATAATTTAAAAAATAATTCCAATTTAGGCTATTCAACTGTCTCTATTTTTGTTGTTCTCTTTTTGTCTTTCTTCTGATGTTCGTAAATCATAGTTTGGTGTTCTCCTGTGTCGCCTCCACCTCTCGTTTTCCTTTCAACACCACTCGTCATCACTCACCATGTTTTTCAATCTTGAGCCCGTAAAAGCAGAATGGTGGCCGACTGGTCCCGACAAAAGAGACATGATAGTGGTTAGTGTTCTTGCTCATTGCTCATTTTTTCAGTCCTTGAATTATTTTTAACTATTTAGCCAAAAATAAGAAGAGTTTGATTGCGATAGGGGTTACAGTATTTCGTCTATTTTGTAAAATGTAATTCTTGTTAATTGTGTAAATTTGTTTCTCAATTTCATTTGTGTTGACTCCACTGGAATTCTTGAATGTTCACAATGGAACAACGAAAAAGAGAAATTTTTTCAGATACATTTCTCACACTTGGAATCCCTTCTTTTCCGAACTTTTGAGGAGAAGAAAACTCTTCTTCAATGATTTCAGTAAATTTATTTGACCGCCAAGTTGCACTCATTAATTCAGAAGGATCCTTTTAATTCAAGCGTTTTCCACCTCTAGGTATAATTCCATCATCCACCCTCACGATTCTCTACACTTTCGTTTTTTAGTCTGCTACTTTTAGTTTTTTGTTTTTTAGTCACGCCGTTCATCCTCCTGGACCACACACCCGTATTTTCTGTTACCCTGTCCCCTAGCTCGTCGATCCAATTAGAAGGTCTGAGCGTTTAATTTTTATTGTTATTTATTGCCGTCAAAACACGGCTCCTCCAGAAGCAGTAGAGAAGCAGAAGACAAAACAGCTGAACAGTAGGAAAAAGAAGCAACAGAAGAAGAAGAAGTAAAAGTCAAAAGCTGGGGTGCAACAGAAACAAGGCCGCCTTGTCGACGACAATCGCGTGTCATCATAGTCGTTTAATCCCACTTGTTCCCAACTTATACCCCCGTTTAATCAATTCGCCAGTGTTGGAGACGCAATTCTGGAGCTATTCTCATCTTTTGAAACCTACTCTCTCTTTCCGAGACTTTCGTTTATCTTGTCCGATCGTTTCGCATCATATGTTCCTTCTTTCTATTCTTCTTCTAGTCCCTCAATCCGTGCTAATGATGGTCAAGTAAATCCGACCCATTGCTTGTTACCGCCGACGTTCCTTCCCGCCATCTACCATAAAATCCCGTCCGGGATCGTCAAAAATGTGGGCGCCGTCGAAGGATCGCACTAGGACGACGGACATATGCGATTTACGAGGTGCAGATGCGATACTGGCTCAGCATGCGCATCATGTGTGCTCGTCAACGCTCTTCGTCAACTCATCGCCCAGCTCATCCTACCATCGGATTGTGCCGAATCAAGCTCACGTCCTTTCGGCAAGATACAGTCGTCCTCCACCTCGGACACATTATTCACTATCACCAAAACTGTCGCAAGGATCGTATCGCTCATCAGCAGCGTTTTCCACCAGCAACGGTTCCATCGGAAACGATTCCAGGAAGCCGATTTCTAATCGGCTGATGATTAGAGGAGGTATGTAGGCGAGGGGCTTTGTGGTGCAAGTTTTCCCACAATTTGCAAATTTTGCTCTTTCTTCTGCTCGTCCGTTAATGTTTCTTTTTTCTCTCAATTTTTGACCTCTCATTACTCATTCTGAAGAGGAAACGAGAAAAAAATTAGCATACATTTCTGGGTCAACTTAGATTTTTAATTTTGAAACCAGTGATCTAAAATCAACGAATGAAACAAGAACAATACTTCATTTTTTTGAATGCCAGAATTGCCTTTCAAAATACAGAAGCAATTTTAGTCTCCTAATTTTGTATTTTTTGCTAAAAATATCCCAACTATTTTTTTCCTCATTTTGATCGAAATTTAGATCTATTCGATAGATTAGACCAACCACTGATCCATCCCAAATGGCTCTAAAACCATGTCTGGTTGTACAATTACTTGTCATTGTTTATCGCCCTCCTAGACAAACACAATCGCCTTCAAAATCTTGCTCACTTGTTCAATTTTATTGAATGTGTCATTTGATGGACCTCCGTACGTCTTTAGTGGACAAAATGAGACAGAGACTTGACTTTTTAGGAGTTTGATGGGGGGGGGGGGGGAAGCTTGAAAATAAAACTATAGGGAGCAGCATAAAGTGCATTGATGTTCGAAAACTCTTGAAAAATTCATTGGGTCGGCTCAGTTTTTATGCGGGCTTGCTAAGTACTGAACTTTGGAGTTTGTTAAGCTTTCGACCCCCGTTATTGACATGTTTAATTTTTTTATCTCATTTCAAAGTTTGTGATCATTATTCAAATATTTTTACATCATGTGTTTACTTTGGAAGTTGTCAGTTTGTAATATTGATGATAGATGGGTAGATTTGAAAGAAATATTGGAGAAAAATAATACCCATCATCACCGAACACCATTCATTTATTTGCTCGTTTCAACCTATTTAGTCATTCATAATATGTTAATTTTATACATTTTCCATTTTCTAAAGACTAGATCTTTGTAAGACTTTGAGAGATAGAATTTTTCAGAAATTACTGTATGTTTCTCCACTCAATTCTTAATCTTTATAACTTTCCCACTTTCTTGAATATCCCTCACACAATTTTAGAAGGTACTTCTCAATGTGCATATCATTATTGTTCGAATACCAAAAACACATACATAATATAAAAAAGGAAGCGATGAAAAGACAAGATTGAGTCGCTCAATTTTCTTCGTGTAAGTGTGTCTGGTTGGCGCTCAAATTATGGTATATGGCCGCCGTCATCATCATCTGGATCAAGTCTATGATAGTCAAGGTATAGAATATCATGTTTACGAGATGTGGAAATGACTTTTTTCTCCACACATCATTCGTCTTCTTGTTTTTTGGACTTACTTCTTACCTCTTAAACCTGCATCAAGTGAGATACCTAGCTCGTTTTTATTCTGTTAAGCTAGACAGCTATTCTGCAATCTATATTTGAGCATTGATGTCGGCCGAAATTGAAATTGAGACGCTCTCTTTGGAAAAATCAGGTACTGTCATCATTTAGTTGATATAAAATCGAACTCACGCAATTTTTGGGTTTTTTGCCATTTCGCTAACTTTACAACTTCAAACTCAACATTATAAAAATTCAGAAGTCTGAGTCTGCAAAATCCTAAATCCTGTCATTTCAAGAAACGTATTTCCTGTAACAGTATCCCTCATATATCACTAACTTTGAGCTCAATTATCTCATTTCTTATCAGAGATATCAAGAAGTTGTCAACTGATAAATTATTTTCCATATGATTTGCCATCACCAGTTTTTTATCAGTTGACGAATTTCTGAAATCTTTCACAGGAGTCAAAACAATTGTGTTCGAAGTTGACGTTCGGGTGGGCTCTTACATACAGCACAGGTCAATAAGATACACAAAAATGTGTTTTTCAGTTGATTTTGACCATTTTCTGGAGTTCAGAGCTCAGATGTCAAGTGTCCGATGTCCGATCTTCAGAAATTTTGTATGTTATAAAACAGACATAAATTGAAAACTTTGCATTGCTTAATTTTTGTGAATATTCCCAGTTTTCCAGCCATTTGCATGTTTTCGAATGACACCTCTTTTTCCCTTTTTTTTGTGCTGAAAACGTCAAAAAGGGCAGGTGTCTTTCAGAAATCGGGAATGAACTGAAAAAGTTGAAATTTTCAAAAAATTTTATAAATGAGAGGTTTGCATCTAGGTCTGTTTCAAAACCTCCAAAAGAGATCAAAACGTGATTCAATACTTGACAGCCAAGTTCTAGAATCCTGAAAATAGTCAAAATCAACTGCAAAACACGTTTTTGTATGTCTTATTAAGCGATGCTTCAATTCCGGCTTTTGGCAAGTATCTGAAAACACAAAACCAGTTCCAAATGTTTTCCGTAAAGTTTCAACACATATGCTTTGAAAAAGAAGCTTCCTTCCTTGGAATAATTCATAATTCATTCCATTTCGAAAACTTTTTCAAGCTATTGAAAATCCTCTATTCATCGAGTTTTTTATTCCGCCAAGTTTTTCCCTATTCATGTTCCATTTCATTTCGTATCAACATCTTTTCAGTTCGTTCAGTTTTTTCTTTCAACTGTCATATTTTTCAGAATTAATTAGCGTTTCGATATAGAGACCATAGAAGAGGGATAAAGTGAAGATAAAAAGCAGAAAAAACTGAAGCTACGCGTGTGTATATTTTTTCAATTATAAAATAGACATTATGCATTTTAAAAAGACACTTTATCGGCTTCTTCTCATTTTTTCTATTGTTTTTCTCTTGTGACTTTGTAAGGTTCAGATGCTCAATGGACAAAAATGTGATAGATAGACAACGCATAGCTAGGATTCTAAATGAGATTTAAGAAAAGAGGTAAACTGAAAACAAAAAAGTCACATCTAAAATTTTCCAGACATTTTCAACTACTCAAAATTTTTTTGAATATTTTAGTTAAACACTCCAAAATCTTTCATCGCGTGATAAACCTTATACCTCGCATCTCATTCATTTCTCCCTTCAAAAAACCACTTTAGCATCAGTTTTCTGAGTAGTAAATTCGATTACGGTGTCATCTTTTTTGCTAAAGGCCTAGGATTTGCGTAAGGCAATATTTATGTTTTCTTAAAAGCTCCTTTTTTGCCAGAAATTCATTGATCTAAGATTTCGTATTTGAAAACTGACCGCTTCATGAATCAAAGACTTTCTAAAAATCACAAAAAAATCTCAGTCTGTCATAATTGTCATTTAATTTCTCAATCTCCTACGCTTCCACTTTGTTGACAAATAGGACGTTTTTGTGGCTGTTGCTGCCAGCAGTTCGGTCAGGCATGGCGAACGCTTCAAAAAAAGTTGATAAATGAATTGACGAATTTTCTTCCGTGCTTTCTTCCAGTTTTTCGTTCATCTCGAAGCAGAAGCGTTGAGAAAAGGCAATTTCACATCTTCATACTTCTTTGCTATTGTAGTGGCGCCCGCTAAGATAATTGGTCGGCATAAAGAAAAGAGCAGCTTTGTTAGGAGGCGTTGATGAAGCTGTGAAGACAGGAGAAGAAGAGGATATCCCCGAAAAAACTAGTAGTCGGTTGTCTTAGTAAATTTTTGAGCTATTGGTTTTATGTTTTTTTTCTTTTCTTTTCGTTTCCACGGGCTTATTAGCCTCCTCCTCTAAAACTAAGATTTCAAATTTAAAAGTTACATCGAGCCTGAGATGTCAGATAAAGTATTAGAATTTTGATTTCTTTCAGCTTACACAAATTTTTTGAAAGTTGTGAGATTTTCTGAGTTCCGACTACTGGAACTCTGTCATTCGCTTTGTCTTCTTCTTTCCCTCCAATGCATTCATAAAGTTCCAAAAAGTACCAAAAGTGCCACACATTCTTTAGTACATCCTCATACACTCTTTAGGCCACCCTCCCCTCTCCCAAAAAAGTTCAGATATCAATCTCTGACGTTTATTATGAAGTGAAGAGACTTTGAGCACAAAAAGACACAATCTGGATCGCTCACTTGTCGCCCTCAATATATTCCCCCAGAGACTTGTTATTCATCGTTCCAGACGCGCGGAAACTCTCTTCGGTCAGGGCCGTCTTGTCCGTTGCCGCCAAAGCGCAAGCCGGTCCCGCGCCGCCTAGAGTCAAGCTCTTCTGTCGCTAAAATTGTCACAAGAATTTTTTTCCAACGCGTCGCCTCTTCGATTTTATGATTAATTTAGTTTTGTGGTCCTTTCACTCAAACCATGTTTGCCGAATGGGCCCGGACAGCACATACTGGTATCTATCCAGACAATCCGACGGCAGTTGCACTACTGCCGTTTTTCGCAGCAGCAGCTATCAGATACCGTAAGATTTTTGAATATTATATCTGAAAATGAAAAGCCTGAAAACTATTCAGAGCATTTTCTCATTTAATTAAAACTGTACCACAATCATTTTTTTTCCAAAAACCTTACACATTTTACACCGTTCCTTTTAATAACCTCCAGTAGTCCTGCTCCTTCAAAAAATAACTTCCCATAAATCAACTTTTCAAACTACTCCCCCCAACATGTGCTCTATCATTTTGAGCTTTCGTCTTCTTTGTAGAACCGCAGCAGTGTTAAGACAAAGAATGAGAATCTTGTCTGCATGATTGATATGATATTGTGTATCATTTATCAAAGAGACACGACGAAGTGCAGTCGATTTTTCTAGCTGCCAGCAAGTTGTGAGCTTTTCGCCGGAGCACACACGTCTGCGGCGAGCAAAAAAAAATGGGGAGATATGAGATGATGATGATGGCATCAAGGTGCCACTTGGAAAAAAAAGTTGTCAACACCAAAACCTTTTTGCTGAAAAATAGATGAAAGCCTATTTGCCATTTTCGTTGCTTTTTGCATGTTAAAATTATCCTGGAGAATTGAATTTTTGAAGATAACATATTAAAAGTACAGTACTAATTTTGAAACTCAGAACTTGGTTCCTTAGTTAAAAACAAATAAAAAAAACCAACAACTGGTTCAACTTGTTGATGAGAACAAAAACCGAACATAATAACAATCATCGTATACCAAAAGTGATAGGGCGGAGCCAAGTGTGACATACCGATGATATTGTGGAGCACATACACACACACGATCTCACTTCTCACAAACACACAGCTGTTTGTAAGCGGTGCTCAGACATGATGAACGTGGCTCCTGGCGGGAGGTGGGAGTATTACGAGACACGAAGGTGCGAAAAGAAAAGCCCTCCCATAGAACCAATAGAGCGCATCCTCCAGCGCCAGCTCCAGGCTCCTCAGAGAGAAAGCCTCACAATCCTCTATGTGTATTCACCCGTGGTGTTCATCCGATGGGTTCATCTGGAGCATACTCATTTCGACGACTTACACTTGCACATCTCCATGATAATCCCCCATTATTTGCTACCGGACGCCGGAAGAGCTCGGCCACAGCTCAACCGCGGCCGTCCATCACATCGGCTACAGTCGGAGTTGGTGACCCATTCATACCATATTATCACTACCGTAAGCCTCCTAGTAGGCCGCCAAGTAGACCCCCAAGTAAACCACCGAGCAATCGAAATTCGGCTGCTTTAAGTCGACATAATACAGTGAGATCTCATCAATTCGCATTTGCATATGACGGTGAGTTTCTTAATATTTTTCTAGATTTGAAAGCTGTGAAAGATCTTTTTAGATAGATCCCACATTACACACCCTGACAATTAGTCGTCTTTGATCTTGGTGGTCCATCATCAATGAGAAACAATTAAACCACCATCAATTCACTCATTTTCTCACTTCCTGCCATGTTATTCATCTTTTCATCGCGTCATTAGTCCCTTTCTCTCCCTCTTTTCCTATCCCATCCCATCCGGTGGTACTTCTACTTACCCGATCTGTCTCTACGACGAGCTATCACTCAACCTTTGGCAAAAAAATTTATTTGTTTGTGTGTGTAAAAGCTTCAGGTAGAAGAGAAGTGGTGGTTACAAAGAAGAACGAAATTCCAGGGGGACGGATGGGAGGAATTTTCGGGCTTCATTGTAGAGGAATCAAAGCATAAAAGTTCGATGGTGGAAAGAAAAGAGCCCGTTTTATGAGTGTCATGAAAACCGGAGAGCAAGAAAAATTCCAAAAGCTTTTTTTTGACTTTTTGTCGCAGCGATCATTGATGTAGATAAGGAAGAAACAAAATATTTGAGTATTGAGGGGAGTCATTGAGAAATTGAAAATTTTCAAAAAACTCATTGAAAAAGTTGTCCTAATATCAGGTATTCATAAAAGTTTTCTGGTAGCGATAGACACATACAGTACCGGTCAAAATCACAAAAACGTATTTATTGTTGGTTTTCGGCCTTATTGTCCATTTTCAGGAGTCTGGAGCTTTGAAAACAGTGGAGGGTGTAAAAAGGACCTAGATCAAAAATTTTGCATTCACAGAATTCTTCAAATCCTCTAGTGTTTAGCTGATTTCCTATTTCTGAAAAAAACTTCTCAGACCGTTTTTGTACAGACAACATGAAAAAGCTGGTATCTTTCGAAAATCGTCAAACACCTGAAAACTAATGTGAGAATTTTCGAAAAATTATATAAATTAAAGAATTTTGTGAATGTCATACACGCTTCGAAATTTTCGAACTGATTTTAAACTTGACAGCCGAGCTCCAGATTCCTGAAAATGGAAAAAATGGCCGAAAACCAACAATTAATACGTTTTTGTGATACGGACCGGTACTGAATCCGGTACTATGAAACTGAAATTCTTTGAAAATTCTAAAAAAGACTCGTTGCTTTAGTATACAACTTCCTCCTATCTCAATTCTCAAGTTTTTTGTGTGGGACAATCTAAATGAAAGAAAAAAGAGATTTGGTGGTGTCTTGGGTCTCACAAAACCAAAACTAGTTGAGGAAAATGTTTTAAATGAGGGGGGAGATCGGTGTCGCAACCTCTTCTCGCGTTTCGTATTTCCTTTCTTGTTGGCCCCTTCTCGGTCGCCGGATATCTGCAATTGCCAACACACCATCGACACCCCAAACATTCCCACTACTTTTGCCACGGTTTTTGAAACATTTGATATCCCTCAAAGGATTTTTATTTTTATTTGAAAAAGTAGCTAGCGGTTTTTTTCAATATTCTGGGAACTATATTCACATCCCTGACTGGTGTAATCCATCCATAGCGGATCTAGTGGATCAAATGTCCAATTCGGGTTAATTTGGCTAGCCATCTGTCTCTTCCTCGGCCAATACTAAAGTTGTGGCCATCATATCCCCGTAGTATTTTCTGATGGGCTCGTTGGGAGTCGGAAGAATCTTTCAAGTTGTCCAAAAACCGCAATTAAGACTTCCCCTCTCTGACCTTGCGTTTGTTTCCTCTCTACCTGAAAATTGTCTTCCTCCCTTGTTTCGAGGTAAGTGCTTCCTAGAGAGACAATGGGAACGATTGTCTATACAAAATTCATGGTCCATTTTCCAGATTATAATAAAGAATCATTGATTCTTGTTCAGTAAAAAGTCCAGAAATAGAAAAAAAACCCCCACCCTATTCTAACAAAAAAGGACCAAATCATATTAGCCGTATAGAATGGGAATGAATTGTTTGTAATCAGAGACACACCACTGGGGGCCCCTTTTTTCTTCAAAACCTAATTTACCCTTTTTTTACTTACAGAGAACATTGGTCGTGTGAAATGGGAAGAGTATAACCGGAGAGAAGGCATCGAAGATGTTCCGGAACAACCGATAGTGGTGCGGGTGCCGATATGGAGGAGGATTTTGAAAGTGATTATTATTTTGAAAGGAGCAAAGAATTGTTTAAAAATAAAATTATTTTCAGCTATTAAAAATCCTACTTCCTCACGTCGGTCTCAACGTTTTATTGCTATCGTATATTGCTATGGGAGCTACTGTATTTATATGGCTCGAAGCGGATCATGAACTGGAAGGCAGAAAAGTAAAAATACAGTAACAGAAATGGTCATAATAAATGCAAAAAAGGGTTTTCAGTTGATATTGACCATTTTCAAGACGCTGAAGCTTGGTTGTCAAGTGTTTCTCTTTGAAAGTAATAGGCTTTGAAACAGACCTAGATTGAAAACTCTGAATTTACAGAATTTTTCGAAAATTCCTAGTTTTTCAGTTAATTGTTATCTCGATGACGCCTGTTTTCTACCGTTTTCACTACTAAGAACGGGAAAAAAAAATAAAATGTCCTCTAAAATTGGGTAAACAACTCAAAAGCTAGGAATTGTCGAAAAACTCTGTAAATTTAAATTTTGAACCTAGGTCTATATTATAATCTCCAATACTTTCGAAATGATCGGACACTTGACAGCCGAGCTCCAGGCTCCTGAAAATAGTCAAAATCAACTGAAAGCACGCTGTTGCATATATTACTGACTGGAACTGTAACTAGAATAACGTTAAATTCATTGAATTTTTTCAGGCCAAAGTGAAACATGTGTTCGATATTTATTCCCAAATTATAAACGAAACAATTGCATTATCCTCAAATCGAAGTGACGCGGCGACGGTGGAGAGTCGGATGAGACCACTGCTTGCATCATTATCAAAAGCTCACGAGTATGACGATCGTTTCACAGATACTAATCAACTATGGACCGGAGAACAGGATGGGATGACGACTAGATGGACGTTTGCAGCAGCTACTCTTTATGCGCTCACTGTGATCACTTCTACAGGTCTGGAATTCAGAACTTTCTTAAATAAAAAATTAAATTTAAAATTATGCTCAAATCCTCATGTTTAAGGTTACGACCATGTTACCCCTGCCACTGATCCCGGAAGAATATTCACTGTATTTTTCGGACTGATAGGTATCCCATTGATGTTTATCACTGCCGCCGATATTGGGAAGTTTTTGTCTGAAATTGTCATTCGGTAACTTTAGGAAACCTCTAGAATATTTGAAAATAAGAATCTTCAGGACCTACGCCAAGCTTCTTGCTATGTGGAAAATGATAGCCAATCTTGTCGAAATGGTCCGTACACATTTGTTCGATACGGATGTTGATTCTATAGACTCTATGTATGTTTTAAATTTGTTTCCTGTTCAATGAAAAATAGGTCCAAATGACATTGCCAAAAATCGCGCCCCAACATGAAATTTTTTGTATTTTTTTAGTTGAGCATTAAACGAAAATTATAATCAAATAAAGCACGCCTTGACTGAACACACTCATGTCAAATCCACGTCCAATTAAAAATTTCCAACTTCGCCAGGCCTTAAAGTTAATTGAAACGGCATTTCTGACAATGGTTTCTTACCCTTGTGAGGATGTCGTAATCTCAAAATTGTCGAATTTTTCAGGGAACTCAAAAAGAGTAAAAAACGAAATGCAAACAGTTTGGACGATGAGGAATGCGAAGACGAGGAAGATCGGCTACAACTTCCAATTGCCAGTTATTTTACGCTTATTATAGGCTATTGTTGCGTTGGAAGTTTGTTGTTTAATACATTTGAAAAGGGACCGGTCTGGTGAGTTGAGAAATTAGAGACCGAGGATTTTTCAGAACATTGTTTTAGGTCGTTCATACATGGCGTTTTCTTCTCGTTTAACACTATAACCACAATTGGTCTAGGAAATATTCGAGTTCAGCAGCATTATTATTTAGCAGTGAGTAGTAGTTTTGCAAAAAACCACTTGTCGATTTTTAATTTTTACTGTAATACCTTACAGCTCGCCGTATCATATGTAATTATTGGATTAGCTGTCATCACTGCCTCACTGGATCTCTGCTCCTCGACTCTCAAACGGACATTCACCAAACTTCATTACTTTGGAAGAAAGATTCGTGGCGCTCGTCGTGGTTTTGCAAATATGAGCGATGATATTCGAGAAGCAATGCGAATAATTGCCGCTTTGAAGAAGACAAGGCAAGATTAGGAAGACTAGAAAAAAAAACAACCTTGGTTTTCAGACCATCAAAAGATCGAATAACTCTGGAAGATTTGAAACGATTTCTTGAAGTTCAAGAACACTTACTTCGCCAGCCATATGTTCCCTACAATGTTCACTTGTTGCGATGGATTGAAGACAATGTTGGTCCACAGATGGTAAAACAATACGAGATTGAATATATAGTTTTTGAAAAACGTCGTTCTGCTTTCTTGTGGTTTATTGATTATACTAGTTTTTATTTTTGCATTCATTTTGAATTTGGTTTGAAATATGTGCACGGAGTAGTATCGGGTGTAAAAGTGGTGAAATTATTTCTAGGGTATTTGGACACAGTTACTCAGTCCATCACTGATTTGTTTCAAAAAAGCAAAACGTTTCAGAAAAACGAATTCTCAATAGCAGAACAAGTAAGTCAGAGTTCAAAATGCTAAAGTTTGGTGTAAACAGTAAATTCATTGGTATTTAATTTCAAAATTTGGGTTTGAAAATGTTCAGTTTTTGATTGGAAAAGAGTTTTTCTTTTGGCTTTTCAAAACTTCTAGCTGTGAAAATTCATCATTTTGCACCCGCAAATGTGATATCGATTGTTTTTTTTGCCGGTTTTTTTTGTCCACAACTTTATTTCTAAAAATTGTCAATTTTTCAGTATGCTCAGTACATGGATGATGTCTCCGGAGGGAAAACGCCAATGTCGCCGTCTCGTTTGTCTCATAAAATGTCATCCAGTGACCCGATGCTCTTCTTCTAACAATGATTTTCTTTTTTGGGTTTGTCACTTATGATATCAGATTTTTTTGTTTCTCACCACCGTTCTCAAAATACTCAAATTAGCCACTCTTTTCCAATTGAGAGTTTGTCATTCAATTAATCATATAGATAGTTTTGTCTACAGAAGAATCCATGAAACTTAAAATCTCCTTGGCGGTCTCCAAAAATTTTCTTCTGTCCCTACTTTTTTTTCCTTTTCAAAGCTATTTTCTTCTCTTATAAGTTGTGAATTCTAGTCTAAAAAATTGATCAGCATAACTCCATCTTTGATCAGACGACTACACTCTATCCTTTTTCCAGCTTTCTCATTTCTCATTGTGATCTTATAGGGTTTTCCATTTCTATTTTATCACTAAAATACCACTTTTCTCTTTTCCTTTTGAATTGTTTCTTTTTGTTCTTTTGAACTTTTTTCATTTCTTCAGATTTCAGTCAACAATGTTTCTTGTTTCGATAAAATACTTTACTTCTATTTATCAGTCCGAAACATCCGCAAATAGAGAGGAGTTTTCTGTAGCGGGAAAATCGATTTGAAACGAATCGGCATTACAGAAAATTCAAGCACATCTGGAACTAAAAAATATATGCATTAATATCATTCCCAAAGAAGTGAAAAATTTTCATGAATGTATTTTTTAAAAACATTTTTGGGTATGCTATTCAAATTCAAACAGATCGTAAAAAGTTTAAACCATGCCAAGGCCTGAATCAGGTAGTTCCTGAGCACCGCAATGACTGGTCGAGATGTGGAACGGTTCCTGGAAAAATTCTGCAGCGAAAAATAGTTTGGGTTTAATGAATATTTAAAAGTTTAATTCTTATGAGAAAGTTATTAAAGAACACTATGAAAAAGGGAGAAAGCCAAAAAAGCAGTATAAACTTTTGAGGCGGCTACTGAAACTAACCTACCAAACACGGATCCCGATGGTTTTCGCTCCACCACCGGCTTAGTTGATTCACAACGAAAGACTCATGACGATGCCTCATCCGTCAAAAATATGTCAATTAAAAATGAGAGGAAAACCAATTACTAACAATTTATAATTAGCATTTACTTGATTTATTCAGCATTCAAACTTAAAGGGGGAGTTTTGCGGAACTTGCTCAATCAGAATAGTACTTTTGAACATGCTGAAAACGGATTCAACAAAATTATGGGCCCGTTTTCAGAAGGAGTAGAAATGGACTCAAAAAAGGTTTTTATGAATAAATATTGACCCAAAAACGCATGTTTCAACTTTTTAAACTCGTTTTCCAGGATGTTCTCAGGTGTGAAACTCGTTTTAGAACATTTCTCTATCCTATGAAACAGATTTTGAACATTTTCAAAAAAACATGTTTTTTGATAATAAACTGAAAATCGAAATTTCCTTTCAAAAATAACAACAAAAAATTACCACAGTGGAGTTCGAACCAGCATCTCCTCTCCTAATGAGTCGCCCTTTTACCGCAACAACACTCACCCGACTGTTTTCACTGGTGACAATTGAATGAGAAAATCACCAAAACCCTATTTTTTCTACGTTTTAGGAATATCATAGACAATTATTTGCGACAGCCTTTGGTTTTGTGTATCAAAATACCGTGTCTAGAACATTTTTAGTTTCATCTTCCCTTTTCGGTCACCATAGTATCTGACATTGCCAACACACCAGCCACACCCGAACATTCCCACTACTTTTTTCATTTTTATTTGGAAGCTAGCTGTTTTTTCAAATATTATCGGAACTACATTCTTATTCATATCCCTGACTGGTGTAATCCATCCATAGCGGATCCAGTGGATCAAATTTCCAATTCTGGTTAATTTGACTAGCCATCTGCCTCTTCCTCGGCCAATACTAATCTTGTGGCCATCACATCCCCGTAGTATTTTCTGATGGGCTCGTTGGAAGTCGGAAGAATCTTTCAAGTTGTGCAAAAACCGCAATTAAGACTTCCCCTCTCTGACCTTGCGTTTGTTTCCTCTCTACCTGAACATTGTCTTCCTCCCTTGTTTCGAGTTAACTAATACTAAAGAATTAGTTAAAAATAAAATTATTTTAAGTTATTAAAAATCTTACTCCCTCACGTTGGTCTCAACGTTTTATTGCTATCGTATATTGCTATGGGAGCTACTGTAATTATATGGCTCGAAGCGGATCATGAACTGGAAGGCAAAAAAGTAAATTAAAACAAACTAGAAAACATTTTAAAATTGTTGCTTTTCCTTCAGGCCAAAGTGAAACATGTGTTCGATATTTATTCCCAAATTATAAACGAAACAATTGCATTATCCTCAAATCGAAGTGACGCGGCGACGGTGGAGAGTCGGATGAGACCACTGCTTGCATCATTATCAAAAGCTCACGAGTATGACGATCGTTTCACAGATACAAATCAACTATGGACCGGAGAACAGGATGGGATGACGACTAGATGGACGTTTGCAGCAGCTACTCTTTATGCGCTCACTGTGATCACTTCTACAGGTCTGGGATTCGGAACTTTCTCAAATAAAAAATTAAATCTAAAATTATGCTCAAATCCTCATGTTTAAGGTTACGACCATGTTACCCCTGCCACTGATCCCGGAAGAATATTCACTGTATTTTTCGGATTGATAGGTATCCCATTGATGTTTATCACTGCCGCCGATATTAGAAAGTTTTTGTCTGAAATTGTTATTAGGTAACTTCGAGCAAACTCTAGGACTTTCTGAACCAAGAATCTTCAGGACCTACGCAAATTTTCTGGTTATAGGGAAGATGATAGCCAATCTTGTCGAAATGGTCCGTATACATATGTTTGACACAAATATTGATTCTATAGACTCTGGTTTTTTTTCTGAATTTCAAAACTTTTCAGGGAGCTCAAAAAAGTAAACAACGAAACGCGAACATTTTGTACGACAAGGAATGCGAAGACGAGACCGAACGCGACAACTTCATCAAGGGTTTCAACACAATCCGATTCACGGACCCGGACATCTCCGCCATCGACCCAAAACTAGGTGTAAGAAGAGACCTGGCCCGGCCTGAACTCGAAACACTCTGCGCATCCAGGGAATTCGTTTATGACGAGAACCTCAAAGCCAAAGAAACGAAGTACATAATGGTGGACATCTCCTACAAGCTCAACGCCAAACCTCGCCCTTTTACGTTGGTGCCTGCCCGGTTTCCCAAGATTCCCATTTACACTTTACCTCTAGTCTTTTTGCCTTCCCCGTCACTCGTCTCACCCTTGCCTAAAATGTCGCTTTTGAATCCTTCCTCTTTATCACCCACCCCATTGTCATCCTCTCCTAGTCTCAGTTGGAATTCTCTTACCCATATTGATAGTCTTGTTGCCAATATAAGAGGCGTCGCTACATTGCCTAAAATTCTTCTTCTCCTCGATATTTTCATAGATTCTCCACATCACCTTCTAGCTTTGACTGAAACCTTTCTTGATGGTTCTTTTCCATCCTCCGTCTTCTCTTCCAGGAATATTGCTATAGTCCGCTTTGATCGTGACCCCTCCATTCATCCTAACTCCAAGGGAGGTGGCGTTGCCATCCTCTTTAAAAACCCACTCAGTGTCTCTCCTGCACAAATCGATATCTCGACCTATTACCCCTTACATCACTCCGAAATTATTGCATGCACAGTCTCCGCATCCTCTGCGCTCTCTCTTCTCCTTTTCTCCCCTCTTCCAATTTGACCCATCCTTCTTGTCTATAGGCCACCGAACCTGAACTCCATTAGATCTAAGGCCCTCATCACACACTTGGACAACATTCTCCCCCTCACGTCTTGTGTTCTCCTTGGTGACTTTAATCAGGGCTGGGAAAACGCCGGCGCCCGCCGGCTTTCCGCCGTCTCACAGCGCAGCCGAAAAACGGCGGCGAAACGCAGCGTTTTCAAAACACAGCCGCGCCGCGGCGCCGCCGGCAGCGCCGGCGGCACTGGCGTTCATGCTGTGTGTGCGCGAATTAGTTCAACTGTGTTTTTACAAATAAGTTCGAATATAATTTTTTTTCAAGAAAGTGTTTATTGTGGAAAAGCATATTTTAACGTTAGAGAACAAAATGAACAAAATATGAGAATTAAAAAAAAGAATAAGAATCTAATATTTTTTTTAATCAGAGAAAACTGGAAATGAAAGTGAAAAATGTTGAGAAATCGATTTTTGGAGCACGAGTTTTTCAGAAATTAGATGAAGACTAATAAATCAATTTTAAGGCATCTCTTTGATTAACATTAGATTTTCCAAAAATTTCGATTCCAGCGACAGTCGATTCGAAGTGTATACGTTTTTCAAAGTAGTGGCTAGTGTTCCTACTGTGTTTCTGTTTCTGCAGATACGACAAGATTAACCTGAAAATTGTTCTTTTCAGTGAAACGTTCTATTTTTACTCACTTTCTGAAATCGAACAACTTCCATCTCTCCTTTCACCACTTTCGCTACATAATCCTTTGTAAAATCTTCCTTTTTTTAAATAAAACGAGACAACTTTGGCAAAAACGATTAAAATTAAGCCAAAAAAACAATAAAGAAATGTGCGTTAACGAAAAAATGCAGACTGCACAACTTTTTATCTACCGTAGTGCGCATAAAAACGCCGCCGGCAGCGCCGCCGTTCGCCGGCTGCAGCCGGCTAGCCGGCGAAACGCCGAAATTTTGCCGCCGTTTTTCCGCCGCCGCGCCGCCGGCGTTTGTTTTTGCCAGCCCTGACTTTAATTATCCTTCTATCTCCTGGGCAAACACCAACGTCTCCAACTCGTTCGCAGATTTTCTCGACTCTAAGGATTTTCTCAGAATGCCAATTTTCCAACCCGCGTAACTTCTTCTGTCTCTAATATTCTGGACTTAGTCATTACTAGCGACGATGTCCAACTCCTTTTTTGTTTCTCAGCACCGTTCTCAAAATACTCGAAATAGCCACTATTTTCCAATTGAGAGTTTGATGCTCTTTTTCTAACAATCATTTTCGGAGAGTTTTCACTTACAATAGCTGAGTTTTGTGAAAAGGCGGAAATTTCACATTTCATCCGATCGAAAATATATCATTTTGACTAAAAATTGTCTTGAAATGTTCAATTTAAAATACTTATTTTATTGAAATTAGATTTCGTATACTAGAAAATTTTCCCTGTTGAATTTATTTTCCATAGCCTCGAAACTGTGCTTCTCATCCTTCCCCTCATGTTTCTGTTTTGATCGCAGGACCATCATCTTCTCCCGTTTTTTCCAGTTTTTTCCGGAACTTCATCTATTTCCAGCCAAAAAAACTGCATTTTTCGGCATTTCCGACTAGCATGTCGTGGCTTCCTAATTTCAATGCTAATAGATCCTTTGATTTTTGCCTGCAAAAACGTTGCTTTTTGTTTTTTTCAAGCAGATTAACTTGAAAAATTACCAAATTTGATTGAAATCCCTTACATTATGTAAAAAATAGCAATGAGTCGTCGAGTTTACAAGAAACTACGGTGTGCGAGTTACGCAAACACAGTGGTTTTTTCGATGCACCCAATGCATCAAACCATACGACACACCATTGTTCAAATTTTTAGCCGAAAAAAGTAAACATTTTTGAAAAAAAGGTATATTTCGGTCAAAACTGTTAAATTTTAATTGAACATAATTAAATTTGAGCACGAAAATGATAATTTTCACTCGAAAATATCACATTCATACCGTAAATTAAAAACTTTGGCTAAGAAAAAACGGATTTCAATTCAAACATCGACTCAAAAAGCGCGAATCTGAATTGTCGGTCTTGGATGTGAAAATCCGCACATTTTGACTATTTTTGCGGTGAAATTTCATTATTTTCACTTCCTACTGTGGAGTATTTTAAATATGTCTGTGTGTTTGTCCGTCTGTTTGTCTAGGGCATTAATGTGAATAACTCTAACGAGGGAAGCTTTTCAGACACCGGTTGAGAATTTGGTGGAAATTTAAACGAGTATACTATAACCCCTAAAAAAAGCCCCTAAACATGGCCCCTAAACATGGTAGCTTCTAAACATGGTATCATTTGCAAACATTAGAACATTTTTCAACTAAACTTCATGTATAGTTTAAAAAATTAATGCTTTTTCATTCCTTGAGACCCCTTTTTTCAAGCTATTTAGTTGCTATTATTGGGCTCACTGAAAAAACTTGACCGTCGAATTTTCCAATTTACAATTCTTCAAATTTTTGAGTCTTTGAATTTTCTTAAATTAAATTTTTTTAAATTAATTTTTCGTTAATCGCGCTCAGAATTTCTGAAGTTACTTTCAAATTTTATAATTCAGAAGGATGTTTTAAATACAAATGTTTAAGTTTTTGATATTTCAAATTTCTGAGTTCTTACATTCTAAGGTTTTCAAGCCTTCTAATTTCCAAATTCCAAAAATTCTGAGTGTAAAAACATCAAGAATTGAAAAGTTACGATTTTCAGTATTTTGATAATTCGGAATTTCTGAATTTAGAAAGTTGAGAATTTGATGAAAAACAAATTTGGAGAGATTCGCAAATTGAGTTTCTTGAAAATTGAAGTGGATATTTGGACATGACAATTTAAGACATTTTGGGCCCGCCACGGCCCGCTTTGGGCCCGTCCGCAAGTATGGTTATATGCAGTGGAGCTGCATTCCCAATTATCAGAGTTTGTGAATATCTTTTTTTCTTGATACACTTTCGATTGATAAGACTGACTTGGACTCTTATTCGATCGGTTGATTAATCGGGGCTCGGTCAACACATCACATTTATGTTAGCTTTTTTCGATATGTACGTTCTTACTGATTTTCATATTTGCTAGGAATCAATTTTTCAATTTTTTATCGCCTCCTTCATATTTCATAGCCATTGTCAGCCAGAAGAAAAAATCATCTTGGTTATTCATCCTTATCATCTTTTCTATCTTGGAAAAGATTTGTTCCTACGAAAAAGAAACTCATTTTACCGCTTTAATTAACTACTACTATTATTTTGCAGGTATCCAGATGACAGAAAATCAGAATCTGTACTCAGGTTTCTTCTTGCAATCTACTTCGGAGAAGGAAAATGGGGATAATTCGATCCGCGTAGAGAACAACTTGGATACTACAATCGGACCGCAATCTGCACATTCCCCGGAGCCCCACTCCCGGGAAAATGTTCCTCTCCATAACCTGACTATAGATGATGCTCCAGAGTCACTGAAGCTGCAAGATGTTGTCGACAACCTCCAAGTGGAAGCAAAAAAGCTTTTGAATCTCATAGACAGAGTCCTACCGCCGATGAACTTAAATAAATCGCAGCTTATTGCTGTAAGAATGTCTATGAATGAAGATAGACCTCTTGTTTGTATTCAAGGAGGGCCAGGAACTGGAAAAACGTATACGCTGGCCCATTTACTCTTTCGAATCATGAGAGCAAAGAAGCGAGTCGTTGTTTTAACATCTACCAAAGAAGCACTGAAAATTTTGAAAGAGATGACTGAAAAATTACTCAAAGAACGAGAACAGGAATTTCAGGTTCATGAACATGGTAACTTATCATTCTCTGTTTTGATTCTATTACTTTTTTCAGCTCTCATGGATATAAACACGTACTTGGCTCTAATTGATGCGTCAGAACAAGCAAAGGATGCAGTACACCAATTTGTAAGTTATAAGTTTGGCTTCAAATCAAAATTAAAATTAATAAAAAATATTTTGTCATAATTGAAAAAACAACTATCACCTCTTATTTGTAGGCATTAGGAAAATTACGGTTTTTTAGGAAAATTACGTTAGGAAAATTACGGTTTTTTGCACTGAGCTGGTGTCCATTTTTGTATTCTGGAAATTTTTAGTGGTATCTTGTCTTCAGAAAGATGCGCAATTTGAAGAAGGTGCTCACGGAGATTACTCGGAACGCCGTCGTCGTCTAGAGATACCAGTTTGTAGTGAAGCTGGAAATGTGAGTTCTATTTAATTTATACGATTATTTATCATAGACTTTAGGAGATCCTAAAACACGTTAAAGTTGTATTTTCCACAATCAAGAGTTCGTTTGTTGACGTTGTGATGGAGTCCGAATCGTTTAAACCGGACATGTGTGTTATCGGTGAGTTTTCCAGGATATCTACGTTATCATACTTTGCCTACATGACTGAAAAGTTGAGAAAAACTTATTCACGATTGTGCGAACAGAATTTGCTAAACGGCTACCAGCCGGGTCCAAAACTTTAAATTTGCTACTGCTTCCCTCAATTTTATTAAAAACTTTAAATTTTGATTGGTGTAAACAGTAAATAAAATTCAATCAAAAACTATTGAAAATTCTGTTGAAATTGAGGGAAACAGTAAAGTATTGGATCTAAATTCCTCCGGGCTGGTCGCAGTTCAGCAAATTCTCATCACATATTCGTAAATAACATCTTCTCAGCTTTTCAATGAAGTAGGTCAGGCGTCATAACTCCATACCTGGTTCACACCATTCCTTAGAACATAAATCTGTGACAGTCTATTGTTCGAATTATTCTTTTTTCAAATTTGTTTCGAAAATTTTTTTAAATATCAAATTTCAAATAGTCCACGATTTTACAATTCTTTACAAATTTGCGTAATTCTCATCAAAAGGATTTCCTTCAATTTTGGTTTTATGTTTTATAACGGTGATCCGTTGCAGATGAAGCTTCTCAAGTGTTGGAATGTCAGAAGTGGCCAACAACATTGAAAGGGAAGAAGCTAGTATTGGCAGGAGACCCCAAGCAGCTTCCAGCATTTGTTAACATGAAACTGTATGTACTATTTCAAATATCTGTTTTAAAATTTCACTGGAATTTTTTGCCCTTTTCCAATGAGAGAATTGTATCTTAATAGTGCCGAGATACCGAATTGAGGATTTTTATTTTTTTCGAATCTGTTACATGGAGTCCGAGAAATTTAAATTTTTAGTGGAAGATATGTGAAGCCCAATCAATCAGTAATGGAACGTCTCATGCTGAAGAAGGAAAACTATAGTTGGGTGATGCTTAACACCCAGTATCGAAGCCACGAAGAAATTACCCATTGGTCGAACACATGCTTTTATGACTGCGCTCTGCGAAGCTACACAAAGGATGAAAAGTTACTTGTGTAAGTTTAGTGATAGTAGGGTTGGTTGCTATTCTGTAAACTTTCAGATATGAGTTGAACCCAAAACCGGAAAAACCTTGTCTCAAATTATATAGCCCTATAGTCCACATCGACACAAGTGTGGTGAAAAAGGATCCTGAACGAGTGTCCACTTATGAACAACGGGTCATAATAGTATTTGATGGCGAGGAGGAGTATTCGTACATTAACAAAGGTATTTTTATATTATCGAGATCGATATGTTTATTGCAAGTTTCAGGAGAAGCCACATACGCCATGCAGCATTATAAAAATTTACTCGATATGGGTGTCCAGCCCGATAAGATCGCCTTAATTTCTCCATACAGAGCACAGGTATCATCTCAACTTTTGAGTTATAGTATTTACCTTATTTGTAGGTCGAATTGTTGAGCAGTATGATTGATGAGTACTACGAGAAAACAAAAAATATCGATTGCAAAAATACGAAGATCGGAACGGTGGACAGTGTCCAAGGGAAGGAATATGATATTGTTATATTCACTTCCGTCCGGAACAATCCACAAAGTGAGTTTGGTTATTGTGCTCTGGTCATCCCAAGATCATAACAATATGCATGCAACACGAATTCAAGCATACATAGATGAAGATAAAATTACAGAAAATTTCGGATTTGTCGCTGACGTCCGCCGTCTCAATGTGGCCGTGAGTCGGGCTAAACGACATTTTGTTCTGATCGGAAGTGGATATATGTTGAAGCATAACCATGGCTCCGAAGTCCGCAGATTGTTCGAGTAGGTATTCCTGGAAAATTATAGGCCAGAAAAACTACATATTACAGTACCATACGCAGCCTGAATCAACGATTCCATCCTGCAATTCTTACCGGAGATTGGCAGCAATATGTCGACTACGAACCGAAGAACAATTTTGGATGGAATTTTGAAAATTTCATGAAAAACTCGAACGATACCGAGATGATTGAATGGTGTGAAGAATTCCTTAAGAACGGCAGAGACCGTTGCAGAACGGAGACAAATTAGTTGGAAAACGTCGGAATGAACTGAGATCTCACTCATACAAATACCGTAAAGCTTCCCATCGTATTTTTTTCGGTTTTTTCTTGTTCAATTGTCTCTTTTACGTGCAATTATCTCATTTTTATGTATTGTAACTTATTATATTGTACTAATACGTTAACCACTAATAAAGCAATCTGACCTCTCGAGATATGTTTTTCTTGTATAGAGTTGTTATTGTCAGGGCTGAATATCTTCGTAACCATTCTTATGAATGAAGTTACGCCTCTTTCTCTCACTGTTTGTCTTCACATTTTGAAAAGCTTAAAAATGAAAACAATTTGACGTGACCTATAAAGGAAGAGTGAGAAGCAAAGCGGCAAACAGTAAAACAAATAGGTTGAATTGTGCCGAAGACGCACTACCCGCAGAGGTGCGGGAAACAGGCTGTTCCTATCGATACGCGAAGTGTATTATTCTGGTACAAAAATATGGTGTTGCGGGAGGAAACCACTGGCGAAAACTACCGTAAACTGACAGTGTTACTATTTCCCGTATTCGTTTTCTTGTTTTTCATTGATTTTCGTCGAGTTTAATGTTATTTTTCCCTAAACAAATCGGAAAATGAACATTATGCAAAGACACCGGAGATTCTATTCCATATCTCCTTGTACCAGAAAAATGTTTAGTTTCGATGTTTCACTTTTCAAGAATGAAACCAAAAAAATGTTTTCACAGTTATGAACTCAGCTTCACAGGTTTTAGATTTGTCACATAAAAAGAATACAGATAATTATAGTCAGAGTATCAATGTGAAGCTCGAACAGTTTCCAGTCTTGTTCAAGAGATCAGTTTGCAATCACTCTTCTCTTCAAACTGTTTTTTTTTACTAACGCAAAATCTGATGTTCGTTATTCGTAACATAAAAATACTATGTCTAGAATGGTCCTCATTTTGAGCATGTTTAAGGTCAGAATTGCCAATTTTTGATGAAATTTTTCCAGTATTGAACAAAAAGATGGCCGTGTCACTAAAATTTTTACGGATTCAGCATGTCATAATTGTGCTAGTGAAACGCTTTCTGACCGCCATGTTCAAAGATCCGTGGAAGTACAACGTCTAGAATGGTCCTCATTTTGAGCTTATTTCAGGCCAAAATTGCCGATTTTGTATGAAGTTTTTCAGATATTGACCAAAAAAGATGGCCGTGTCACTATAAATTTTACGGATTCAGCATGTCATAATTGTGCTAGTAGAACGCTTTCTGACCGCCATGTATTAGGTTGAACAGAAAGTTTCTTCCTTTTTCGCAGGGCTGTTTTTGAGGCTTGATTTCTGGTTCTAGAAAAGATGTACACGGCCGAACTTTTTTTTTGTTAGAGAGCTTTGTTCAGTGTTTATTAGATCGTAGATTTGTTAATTTTTATCTCACTCCGTTTTGAAGAAATGACGATTCTTTTGCTCCTTACCCGACTGAACATCCGAAACATGATTATATTTTCATTTCTGTTTGATGTTCAAATGCCCGATATTCACATGCAAATGGTGGATATATATAAAAGACATGTTCGGCCATAACCTACAAATTGCGGTTGGTTAGAAAAATTCCGCCCAGGGGTGTTCTGTTTGAAAGATGACAACTTCCCAGTGAGTTGGATTTCGATCAGTTGCTAAAAGTCGTGAAGGCGGATCTATTTCAAACCACTCGTAAAATGTCAAAGTCTTCATCCGTTAGTCAACTAAGTATTGCTTTACAAAATGCTTTAAAAATGCTTTAAAAAGGATCAAATAATTTGTTGTGTAGCCGGATAATTCGGAAAAATGAAAAAAAAAGGAAAAAAATTTAAACAACTCCGAATCAAATCACTTTGTGGTACGATCCCGTTCACAAACCTTGCACCAAGATATACAAAAACTGAAAATATATTAGAGATACGCCCAGCCTTGAACTCTATTGTTATTAAGAAGGATGGCAGGTGATTATTGAAGATCATGTCACTTAAAGTCAGTGAAATAAAAGTGAGCAAAAATGAAACGTCACCAGGTAAAAACGCTGAATGGATTTGGAAAGCGACAGAACGCCTTGGAGAAAAATGGAAGGTAGATCAAACCACAAGCTATACATACACGTTTAGCTGTTTGTGCTTACGCATAAGATTCAATTCGCTAATTCAAAAAATCTTTTTCAATCGTTTTTATACTCAGTTTCTGATCTTTTTAATTTTATAAAACTTTTTACCGCCTCCGCATTTTATTATATTTTCGTGAACCATTCCTGTCTATAATAACAAGCTTCCAGGTTATTTGTGATAAACCCACTCCTTTTTTCCCTGATATTTAGTACAGATCTGTTACAAATATTTGAATTTTTGGTGTTGCTTTCTGTTCCACTATACACGTTTAAAATTGGTAAAGCACCTTAATATGTCAGTTTGCGTTCTAACGAGTTTTTAGTACACGCCACGTCAGTTTCGTTGCTGGGATTTCATGTGAAGTGGGAAGTGGTTACTTGGGAACAGAACACGCTTCGTTTTCTCTGGCGAGCCCAAACTTTAGTTTCATTTTGAGTTTTCCAAAGAACTATGAAGGCGACTCGCTACGAGACGATTATTGAGGAGACAACGGATGAGAACGGACGATTGGTCGCTCCTCAACAACTCGTTCCGTAAGTAGTGCAAATATAATGTAAAGGGGGGGGGGGCAAAAGTCTTGTAACCAAAGTTGGACGCAAGCTGGCGCGTGCTGACACTTATCATGTTTTGATTATATTTTTATATCTTTTCCCAACTTTTGATTAGTAGATTTGCAAAGTTTCATGTTCATATCTTGATTTTGAGGACGATGTTTTTGGCATATCCTTGTGAGCAAGCCAGTGGCCCAGGAATAATACTTCTAAGGTAAATCACGGTGTCTAAGTCATCGTGCCAGAACGTTCGCAAAATTAGACTGCCCAAAAAGATGTAGAACCTCCTCACACTGAAAAACGTATTCAAAAAGGATGGCCTGTGTTGAGTCAGATCACAATCCAATGGGGAGTTCCGTGCAGCAAACGTGTAAAGAATTTGCTGATGTTTGTTTTCACAAGATTTTGGGTGCTCTCTGAACTATTTTGCCGGCTGAATAGGACAATTTGCCCACAGACTACACCCGTGCGACCATAGATGCTACCCGAAGAAGTTGAGCCTCGCCATGAGAAATAGAGCTTCCAGAAACAAAGAAAGACAAATCTCTTTAATGACGTTCTGTTAAAATTTGAAGCTGATTTTCTGAGAATTTATGACGTTTTCTTTTGGTTACCAGACTTTTGCCCCACCTTGTAAATAGTTCAAAAGCTTTTTTGATTGCAACTTCTAGTTCTGAGTCTAACAAGAGAACTCAAAGTATCACACTGATCCAGTTCTGAATTTTTCCAGATACGAGACGTTTCAGTTGGAGGACCCAACACCATCAACAGTCAGCTGGTACTGTCTTCCAGTCGGATTCGTTGCCGCCGTTGTCGCTGAGTGTGCCGAAACATGCATGAAGTTGTTCGGCTTCTGTAGTCGTAACGTTGAAGTATAAGCCGTCAATGTCTCTAATTCTGTTTGATTGTATTATTTGAATGCTTAATATCTTCGAAGAAAACTGAAAGGAACAAGAATAGATAATTTGTTGCAACTGAAAATCACGGAGTTCTCAACATATATTATTATAACACAGGTCCCTTGAGAATTAGTTTTTTTCGAATTAGTCGTCCGACAATAGCAGAATAGCAAAATGTAATAGCAAACTAGTACAAAATATATTTTTTACCAGATTGTTTTTTCGGAAAGATATTATCATGAGACGGATGTAGAAAAAACCAGTCTTTTTATTTCAAAAAGACCTTTTTCATTTCCCAAGGATGTAATCTTTTTTTCAATGGAGCTTTATTTATCCAATTCTTAGTCGACAGAAGCCCCATAGATTTTGTCATTCTCTACTTTTTTGCTCATTCTCGAGACGCTTTCTTTTTTTTCTATTCAAAAAAGCTCATGTTTCCATGACTTCTAATAAGATTTCTTATATCCAAATTCTCACAGTTACGAACATATTGTTTTGTGTAAGCCTATAATTTTTTATTTATTTCTTTTTCGTTTTCTCTTCTTGGCTTTAAAAATTATTTTCCGCTTAACCTAAAGTGTATCTGCTTTCATTTCGCGCTCCTAACCGTCCTTTTCTCTTTTCAAAAAATGCTATTTTCGCAAAAGGCACATTTCCCGCTCAGCAACTTTCCAAGAGACTTTCTTGCTTCAAAGCGCCTTCATTCTTTCAAGAAGCTCTTTTAAAGCTCTTCCAAGTCCTCCACTCCCTTCAATGGGACGTTTTCATTGCTTCCCAGTGCGCGCTTGCTCTCTCACTCTCTCTCCATCAGGACCGTCGAATTTTTTCTGGGGCAATTTTCTGCGCCTATTCTTCCTACTGTCTTTCTATGTCCAACGGAAAAGGAGCAGCTGGTCCTTTATTCTTACATTCTTATTTCTCATGTATTTTCTCTCATTTTGAAAGAACCGAAACGTATCGATTTTTCCTTATCCCCGGCGAAACTATCTAAAACTAAAAAAATTTCAAGCCCAGCTCGTACGACATCTAAATTTGAATTGCATTCTCTTTAACTTCCAATCTTTTCTGTTTCGCACAGTATCAGCAGAGCGCGTTTGCCCAAAATAGCGACAAGCTCGTTCCTTTCTATCAATCTTTCCTAAAAGGCCTTGAGAAGTTTTTCTGCTGCTTTTCTCTGTGTCTAATCTTTCTGTTATTTTTCTATGGGAAAGAACAGTCGTTCTTCATTCTTCATTTCTCCGGTTTCTTCTATAAATCAGTATAAACGTAGAAACTCTAATTTTGAATAGTCAAAATCAATTTCAGTCAATTCTATCTTTCCTGTCAGCTTAAACTTTCCAATCAATTCTACACATTTTTTTCTTCTCATCTAATCTCTTTCCCTCAACCTAAAGTCTTTATTCTTTTGATTTGCTTTCCTAACTGAGATTTTCAGCGCGCTTTTCTCTCGCACTCTCTTCGCACCCTCTCCAAGCACCATTGTATTTTCTTGAAGCTGTTGCTTGCGTCTCGCGTGAATTTCAGTTATCTGACATTATTTATTTATTTATTTATTTATTTCAACGAAGGGGAGAAAACCACTAACACGTGAAATGTCTATGAAACTAGGAGATATAACAGGGACATACATTTGTAGTAATTGGGAGATGAAGGAAAAACCGAGTTAGTAATTAGTTGAATTCAAGACAAGAAAATGTTTTAGATCACAGGATAATAGTCGATTTTTGAAAGCCGCTGACGAGGGCTTCACCGGAAACACTTTGGCGGGTAAAGAGTTCCAACATCTGATTACTCTATTAGAGAGAAATTGAGAAGATATTTTTGTTGAGTTTTTGATAAGTGATTTGAGATAGTATTTGTGACGTCGCAATGATCCAGCATGATTAAATATTTCGAAAATTGGAACCTCCATGATAATTTCTTTGGAAAAAATAATTTTATACGTGTAGACCAAATCATAATAGAGCCTGCGATACTTCAAGGAACTTAGCTGACATTCTTCCAGTGCTTCAAAGTATGAAGTGTATGCCATCCTGAATTTTTTGAAAATTCTGAAAACAAATGACTTTTGCACCGATTCCAATTTTTTTAATATGATCCTTTAAGATTGGAGAAGGTACTATCGTTCCATATTCGAGTAAAGGGCGTATGTAAATTGTATAGCATTTTATAAAAACACTCCACGATGCGTTTTTTAGAATGGAAAAGAACATGTTGATCCTCTGATGTGATTTCCGAATAATCAACGAATAATGATAATGGAAACTCAGGTTACTGGAAAAGTAGATCCCAAGATCACGGAGTAGATCCCAAGATCACGGAGTAGATCCCAAGATCACGGAGTAGATCCCAAGATCACGGATCCCAAGATCACGGAATTATGCACAAGGAAAAAGTAGCATATGAACTTCTATTCTTCCACTTTTATTCTTCTTATTTCTGAAAAGAAACCAAGCTAAATTTTTCTCGTTTTTCTTGTTCCGTACAATAATTTGTAGACCCATTATTGTATTATTTTCAGGTTGAGCCATGCTTGTTATCATAGACATCGAACCTTCGCCTAAATTCGATGAGTTGGTAAAGTTCATGGTTCAAAACTCGATCGATTTTCATGTCACCCACAGAAGCGTGGGGATGCAGAAGGAATCGCGTAAGTTGCAGCCTCGAAAAACAATAAACTCAAATTATTTTCGAAGTTCGCAAGATTTTTTTTGAACTTTCCGTTTTGCTACTGCTACTCCTGAGAAACTTGAATTCTTTTAATTCACATAATCTTCTCATTTCAGAAATCAAAAAAACTGAGATCGACGAGGAACAGTATTCATCACCAGATTCCATTGAATCTACACAAATGGAAAATGTGGTCAGAGAAAAGCAGCCGTTGGAGGAAAATCAGCTTGAGCCAATAACGACACTTAACCGTTTTGAGCCAACGAGTTATCTAAACCATTTCATTTTTTCACGCTTCCTAAGACAGAACCTGCGGAAGTTCCATTCTCCCCCGGTTCCTCTGCCATGGATTAATTCACTTCAGAAGAACTGGGAAGTATCCCAAGTCCTTTTTTGACGCAGGCCGTAAGTTTTGAACTCCCAAATTTAAAAAAGTTAATGGTTTTAGGCTAATGGAACCAGCAGAAACATGCCGCTCCAAAACAGAAGGGGAACTTGCGAGCTGTGCAAAAAAAGAGATGTCATTGAGAAATCGACACATGCATATTTTCAATCACTTGACTTTCAAATTGTAAGTGACCACGAGTTGAAATATTATTCATTCAAATAGTTTTGCAGATACGAGTGCCAAGATTGCAAACTTCGTTTTCCTCAACCAAGCCACTCTCTGAAGCACTACCAACGGGAACATCCAACAATTGCAGCCAAGTCGTTTGTCAGAGCTACTCTGTGAGTGTAATTCTAAGCTAAAGTATTTTCGAAAATTTCAATTTTAGATCAACAGAAGAGGAACTCGAATACGATTCGATGAAACAACAATGCTTTCCCGGTAGGAGACGCTTCAATCAGGCTGGAAAATACATCATTTGAAGTGGTTTTATTTCATTAGCATTATTTTCTAGCACCGTGATTTCTTTAACAGTTTATCACCGCTATACCTGCACTTCCATCTATTTCTGAAAATTTTTTTTGCGAGTTAAAAATCTCAATATTGTTCCGATTTCGTTCCCTGTTTTTTTTCCAATCCGTGTTAATTTGAAACCAAATGCTATAAACCAATAAAGATAGTTAAACATTTGTGAGAGTTTCAGCAGCAAAAAACTAGAAGATATGTACAGCGCCCTCTAAAAGTATGGGAACAGAATCAAAGTCGTGTAAGTTTCGCAAAATGACCCTATCTACAAGAAAATTCAATCAAAGTTGACGGAATACTTTTTACAAAAAAGGTTATGACAGTTGTTGCATTTGTTCGTCACAACATCCAAGAGTTTTTTTTTTGGGAAATTCGGAACTGTAACAAGAAGGTATTTTGGGGATGAATCGATCCACTGCTTTCAATATTTTTTTGCGATGGCTCCAACGAGGGATGTACACGTGTTTGGACCCAAAACTTTTTATGAAAAATAGTCAAGGCTTCAAGTGTGGCGACGGGGCTAGTTAAAAACTTGATGGTTTTTCAATTAGAATTCTGTTTCTACCGTGTATAGTTTCTCGTCGGCAGAACAGAATTTTCATGTATCTATCAATCCGTTGATCACTTTTTACGAATCTTCTGACCGACTTGCTCATTTGGAGATACATGCTGTTTCTATCATGATTTGGAGCGGATTTTGACAAATTCTTTTTCAGACGGCTTTGATTCTTTTCGAGAGTAATTAAAGTTTGAGATTCCAATAACTTTTCCCAATCATTCTAATTGGACTCACCTCCCATTTGGCTTGCAGATGCTGCGTTGTTGTTTAGAATAAACTAATCAAGACATGCCGACACAATATCTCTCGAAACGAACGACTCCTTAACAATCCTAACAATCGATAATATCGAGAATCTAACCTATGAGCTTTATTTCAATTGATTTTCTTTGTGATTTTGACTCATAATTATATTATCAAGAAACAAATTTGATTGTTTTGTTAAAGTTCAAGAAGACCAATTTCAGATGAACCATTATTCACTCCGAAAACAATCGTTCCACTGGCAAGCCATAAAACCAAAATGACCTTTAGATTTTGATTTCGTACCAACTTTCGCTAGTGTTTATTGCTTCAACCTTCAAAAAAACCTTATTTACGAGTCATCGTAAATACAAACTTGATTTTGAAGTCAATTACGGTGGCCAAAAAGTTATCCCGGTTTCAATCTTTCTTAAATAAAAAAGTTTATTGCCTTTGAACTATACAAAAAGTTTTATCTAACACAATAACAATAAAAAAGAAAATGCCACGAAATCTCAATGATGATTACTATAAAGATGGTGGACAAGCTTGACCAGAGTGGATGTGCACTGATGAAGCTCTACTTTAGGAATGAACTCATTTTTTGAGTGAGCATTTTTAATTGAGCCTCCACCGAACAGATATTTGCCTTTCACTTTGTCCTTCGCGTCGAAGTAAGCGATGTCAGTGTTGAAGGATACTTGATCCAGCTCGGCTTCAATTGGTGGAACATCCAAGATAACCGGGTCATTAGAGCTGAGAAGAGTAATGTTGGCTCTTCCTGCAATATTGGTTTGTGTACTGGAAAGTTCTAGAATTCGTACCGTTAACCAATCCCGCAAGCAGATCCTTGATATTCTTTACAGAAGTGACTACACGGAAGAAAATGTCAGCTTCACAATGAGCGGCCCAGGCATTAAGAGCTTGTCCACCGGTAATTTTTCCAACATTATAGGTAGTATCTCCGTAGGTTGCATCGCATGGCCATTGGAACTTTTGAACATCGTTCAGAACCTCGACCATTTTGTGAATGGCGCTTGATCCGGAATCTGGGTATCCAGAATGTCCAGCTTGGCCAGTGATAGTTAGCTTCACCTGTAAAACCAAGGCGTGCTTATTTCAAAAATGTTTCCTCACTTTCAATGCTCCTTTTTGAATAGTACTGAACTTTAGCTCGGTGGGTTCTCCAACCAGCAAGTACTCAGGTAGAATCTCCAGCTTATTTGCTTCCTGGAATAAATACTCCCTTCAACTCAAAGAGTCCCTGTTCCCTTCTTCTTACAATCATTCCAACATGGTCAAGTTCTTCTCCTACCACAAAGAGTAATCCCAATGCCCTTGCAACATCCTCGTCAGTATTAGAAATAATGATGGCGGCTGTGACCATTGCAGCCAGTTGTCCTGAAACAGCTTTGTCTTGTCACATCCGATTTGCAGACATTTTTTTGTGTGGAGACAAAGTGCAGAAGTCACCAGACAATAATGTTTTGATAATTGCTTTCCTTTTTGAAATGATCCATCACACTTATGGACATTTTGCAAGTTTTTTTCTCTATTTGAAGTTTGTATGGCTACCAAGAAGTGAAATGGAATTGAACAAAGTTCAATCTCGTAAAACAGGTGTTTCTTCTTTCACATCCGCTATTATACAATCGGTGGGCTACACCGATGGGACATTAAAATGAAATTTCTCGTCTTTTCTCGCAACATTGCAGGGCATTTGTGGGCAAAAATCAAGTGACCGAAGGTCATAAGATTTCCGGGCACAATAGAAAAACAAAAAACAGTTTTGAGAGTTTTTTTTGTGAATCTACAAAACAAAAAAAATACCTTTAGCATCGTTCGACCCGTTACCGTAGATATTCTTCTCGTCTTGGGTGGGTGGAAAGTACGGAGGAACTGTGTCCAGATGAGTGTTCAAAAGCACTTTGACATCTGAAATGAAGGTGTTTAGGTTTCAAGTGTCCACTTATTTAGCAGTATTTTTTTAATAAAAAAGAAGTGAATGGAATATTAAATAGGTTTGTTTAGGTGTCAAAAATCTGTAAGCGAACAAAACGAACAAACAAATTTCACCAGCCTGTTCAACATTAGCAGATTTTTAAAAGCTTTCACTAAAACTGAGATAGTGGAGCTCAAAGTGCATGTGTAAGGTTGTGTCCTACTTAAAGGGGACGTCCGCTAATTCCAAAAAATTTGAGATTTTTATATCAATCAATACAGAAATTTGGGTCGCGAAGAAAACTCTCTATTAGGGAGCTCGACAAGTGACAAGATCCTTGAGGGTGCAATCTGCACCCTTAACGTTGATTTTTTTGACGTGTTTTTGACATATATCTTAAGAACGAGAAATTTGCGGACTATCCTCCAAGAGAGTTTTCTTCCCGACCCAAAATGCTGAATCGGTTGATATAAAAATCTCAAAAATTTTGGAATTAGCGGACTCCCGCTTCAAGAATTCACAGTAAGCTGAATTAGACTCAATGAATACTGCATTTTGAGCGAATACCGTATTTCCTCTTCTAGAGGCCCACAAATTTTTGATATTTTTTACAGGAATCGAGTAATTTGAGCTTGAAGTCAATGGTCTGAGCTGGTCTCTTTTAGAGGGAATGCGGTTAATAATTTCCCAAAATAAGGAAGAAAAATCAACAAAACTTCAAAAACCAGGATTTTAGTAACCGCCTAAACTCCAAATTACTAAATCATTACGTTTTGGATCCGAGTTTCGATAAGTTGCATAAACATTGAAACGATCAGTGCCTGGAATTGTCTGTTTGTAAACCGTCCATCCGTTTTCTTCCAAATCCTTGACCACAACTCCCGCAAACTCCGCTGAAATTTCAAATTTATTTTGTTTTCTATATATTCACACCTTCATTTCCAGTGGTAGATGAGTGACTCATGTACTCCAGAAGTTTCTTCTCCACTTCTTCTTCCCACTTGATAGTCATGGTACAGCCACACAAACAAAGACACAAACAACTAAACTGCAAGAATCGCATTGTTTACTTCATTAATACCTTGTGTTAAGTGTTCAATGAGATCTGACTTATGTCCAATGGCAATGTAGCTACTAACAAAAAGATATACTGAATCGGGTGATATTTTTTTTACTTTCTCAAGGCCGTTTTGAACCATTGAAGTCCCATATCTCGCAAAAACAGAGAAGAGGAATTTTTGTAGCAAAGATTGAACGGTTTGATTATAACCGGTTTTGTAAATTTTCGAATAATTGAAATCAGAAATAGTCGGGAAAAAATGGGAAAGTGAAATAACGCCAGAAAAATTAATTTTAGGTATGCATCAGAGGAAAAAAAGAGAGGAACAGTTAAAAGTACACATGTATATTTGAAAACTGACAAAACCACGTGCTACCTATCGCTATATTTATCGTTACCTATCGTTGACAAGCAAAAAGTAAAAATTAAAGACCATTTTATCACTTGATTTCTTTTTTTCGTGATCATCGTCGGATAGTTTGTCTTAATAAAAATCAAAGGGGTTGTTGTGTAGTCATACAATCACTCCCCAAAACTAGGGCATTTCCGATAGGAAACGAAAGTAATAAAATTGTTGTTGTTTCTTATCAGTTGGGCGGTTGATTAGATGAATAGACACTGTGTTCATCTTGAGATGATATGATTTTAATATATTCATTGTCACAAATACTGTAGTATAACACAGAAGGAGACAATGTAGATTTGATGGGGAGAAGAGAATGAGTCGAAAGAAAAAAACAAAAAATATTAGGTTGGCGGGAAAGTCTTTGTCACTCTGTTTGTTTAATCACTGTTCTCGTATATGGAGGCTGTGTATGATATCGACTCTAGTGAATAACAAGGTGATAAGAACCTTCCATATAAACAAGTCCCCATCTCCTTCCCTGCTCCTCATCTGTAATTGAAACGATATGTTTGTTCCCACTGCTATTCACATCGACATGTTTTGATTTACCTCTTCCTATCTCACACCACGATGAAGGATTCGGAAACTTTCTTGAAGAATGTGTACAACACACATGCCCCTCACTACAATACTATTCGCAATTGGTTCCATCGTTTCGAAAAAGATGACTTCTCGCTCGATGAAAAGGATCGCTCTGGGAGACCCCGTGAGTTGGATTTGGACAAGCTGAAGCACGCATTGCAATCGGATCCATTTCAATCTAGCCGTGAACTAGCTGTCACATTCGGAGTTCACCATAGCACAGTCCTTGAAAATTTGAAGTCTCTTGGAATGAGAAAACTTTTTGGTCGATTCATACCTCATCACCTGACTCAAGCCAACCTTGACCGCCGAGTCGACGATTCGATTACTCTTCTCACTCTCCACGCGGGCGATCGATGGCTGGACCGGCTAATAACCGGAGATGAGAAGTGGGTCTTCTATGATAATCACCACAGGAAATCCCAGTGGGTTGGAGAAGGAGAGAGCCCACAGGATGTCCCCAAACCCGACCTTCATCCGAAAAAAGTTATGCTCTCTGTGTTGTGGGGAGTGGACGGCCCCATCTACTGGGAACTTCTGCCCGAGGGCAAAACAATAACTGGAGACCTCTACACTACTCAACTACGAAACCTCAAGAAAGCAGTCGACCGTTCGGCCCTGAAAGACAAGAAAGTGTACTATCAACATGATAACGCTCGCCCACATGTTTCGAAACAAGTGAAGCAGGAGCTGATGGGATATGGATGGAATGTTCTCCCTCACCCCCCGTATTCTCCTGATCTTGCTTCTTCCGACTATTGGTTATTTGGCGATATGACACGTGCCTTCGAAGGAAGAAGCTTCAATTCCCGTGGAGCGGTCGAAGCGGCACTCAAACAATACTTCGCCTCACGCCCGGCTGGATTCTACCGCAATGGAATCCATAAATTGAGGGAACGTTGGAGACATGTTGTTGATAATGATGGACAATATAATTAATTATTCGGTTATTTTTTCTTTGAGAAATAAACTATTGAAAAAGTGACAAAGACTTTCCCGCCAACCTAATATTCTAGAGAAGTAAACTCAATGAGTTCAATCTAGAAGGTCTAGAATCTGGGAAACGATTTCGGCAATACATAAAAATATTTTCTTTTTATTAAACGTCTGCAGAAAAAAGATACCCGTTATTATGATAGCGACCAGTTATTGGTCTAACAAGTGAAGACTCAGGGAACAATACCTATAGCTCAATGGGAAAATAAATGATAAAAGAGAAAAACAGTAACCGATTGATGATGTGTGTCGAATGATTCAAAAAAGGGAAACAAAAAATACCGATTGTAATTGACATAGATAACTAGAAACGGGATCAGAATCTGGAATCGAGAAGGTGAGAAAAAGAGGAATTGAGAAACGATGTGAGGGAATGGAGATGTTGTATTTACATGAAGAAAAAGTGATAGTTGGGTTTTGAGCCACTGGAGGGAGAAGAGAGGAAGAAAAACGAGAATGAAGACAATAAATACAACATTAAAAAAAGGATGATGAGGTCAAAAAGAAACATGATATCGTAAAGTTGTTTCTCAGATGATGAACATTTTTTATTATTATCTAGAACTTTCTTCGGAAGTCGCATGTCCTTAGATTACAGTACTGTTTTTCATATTGCTGTCCATCGCAATTTCCGCTACCATAGCACTTTCGGACACGTTTACGAACGCCATCACCACAAGTTTCACTGCACGATGACCAGTATCCCCATCCTGAAAAATTTGGAATAAATTTCAAATTTTAATTGAAAAAATAGGACACACAAAGGTGAAGGACAGTACAGTTTTGTAGGATTTGTTACTTTGATTTCTAAGGTGTGTTCCTTTTCTCATCTTGTACAAGTTGTTTCATTTCGAGTGACCTTCCTAAACTATTGTCTCGAGTTTTCAATAAGATTCTAGGACAATATCGGTTTTCTCTTTCCGGGTGTTAAAAATGATATGGTCTAAACGCGAGATGCAAGTCAAATTGAATCAGATTATCATATTTCTTTTTCTATATCATCCCATTAATTGCGAACCAAACCAATCTGACGCCAAAGGGGAGAAAAAGATATATGGGAGGTGATTGAACACTATATATCAATTGGATCAAAACACCTCTTGCAAAAGCGGCGGTCGCTGATAAAACGGTGTGGATAGGCGGATCCAATTGAAACACAAAAAAAAAGTGTTCACGGTTTTTTTCGTTGACACAAAATACGGGGAGAATTTTAATTACCGACAGACAAGAGGGATAATGAACTAAATATGACAACAGGAGGTCTTGATAACAAAGAACATATTAGTAACTTACTATTTTTGTACTTTTGTTAGTAGTTATGTTTAGAAAATTGTAATCTCATTATCTGAAGGGTTAGAATGAATGGTTATCAAACATTTTTTAGATTTTCCACTCACCTCCCCAGGCAGCATTCCTATTCTCACAATCCCTATCGTTACAAATAGCCGACTCCTTATAGTTTCCAGGACAGTTACCAGTTCGGCACGTCCTCGTCCTCCTCTTCACTCCGGCGCCACATGTTACCGAGCATTGAGACCACGCCGACCACATTCCCCAATCATTTGCATTCGATGTAGCACAAGCTTGCTCATTACAGAACTGTTGCTCAGAACTTGCTCCCAAACATCCACTTCCGAAGCATGATCTGCTTCTACTTCTGAGCCCTTTCCCGCACACTCTGCTACAATCCGACCACTCATTCCAGAGAGACCATACTCCGTCGTTTTGGCATGTGGCTACGTTGCAAGATCTGCGTTCGTGAGCTGATCCGTCACATGGTTCCTAAGAATATAAAAGTTAGAGAAGTCGAAAATGATTAAAACTTACTCTGTTACAAGTTCTCTGTCTGACAAGAGTACCAGGTCCACAAGATGTGGAGCAAGTGCTCCATGATCCCCAAGTTCCCCAAACACCAATAGCATTGCATGGCCCATTGTCGCAAGAGCGGACTTCGATGTTTTTCTCTGAAAAATATTCAAAAATAACAGCTGAATCTTATTTGGAACACATGCATTTGGGATGTCTGGAAACATTAATCGAGTTAATTAAGTTTAACAAGTGAGGAAAAAAATGAGGATCAAAAGATTAAACAAAATGGAACCAAGCAGTGTGTAGGCAGAAGCGATGATAGAAGAAAGAAGATAAAGACTGGATATCCCTTTCTCTCCATCTCGTGAAAAAAGACGGAACGAAAAAGTTGTATTAGAAATTGTTAGTAAACCTTTAAAGAACGTGATGCGTAGCTCGTCGGTGACTTTGTTCTCACCAGGGCAGTCGAATGCTAAGGTACGGTGCGGACTGAGACACTTGCGGTATCTAGCTTGGGATCCGCGACCGCATGAGACTGAGCAATGGTTCCACTCGGTCCAGGTACTCCATTCGTTTCCGGTACGAAGAACAGATGGGCATGCGTCGGAGTTGCAAATCTCGGTTTCATCTTCACTTCCTTCACACTGTCCGTTGATGGAGCAGGCGCGGTTACTGAAAATAATATTTCAATACAGGGGAGCCTTGAAGTTTCCAATTTACCGCTTCCTATATCCACCTCCACAAGTAGCCGAACAACTCGTCCAGAGACTCCAAGTAGACCATATTCCACGGTACAAAGAAGATGATTGGTCAGTGATTGGACAAGTTTCAGATGGGCAAGATTGGTCTCGGCTCACAAGAGCATTGTTGTTACAAGACAATGCCAAGCACTCTCCGTCAAGACAATATCTATCGTATCCACAACTGGTACCATCCGGAAGGTTGTCACCAAAGAATCGGTAATTGCGTTGACTTCCGTAGTGTTGTTGAACATCGCAGAACACCTGAAAAAGTAGACGACTTGATTTGAGATCTGAATCAAATTATCATTCGATTAACTTTGATAAGATAACCAGTTTTCTATTGTTTTCCCCCAATTCGTCACGAAATTTTATAATTTTCAAATAGCGAGGTTATTAGTTGGACTTGTTGTCTATTTCTCTATTATTTTTCAACCCCCTCCCTCTCTATTTTTCTCTCTTTTCCTTTTTTTCTAATCAACGTTTTTATCATATTAGGCAATGTCCAATGACACCGGTGACGAAACGGTTTGAAGATGTAGTGTGAAGGGAGGCGAAAACTTAATAGAAGAGAGAAAATCCCCCCCCCCCCCCTTCGGCCCGACGGAAACGAATCCACTAATTTTCTTTGTTCTCTTCTTTCCCCAAACATACTTTGCATGCTCGTTGCGGGAAACGGTTGAGTTGACTACCTTTTCCAGTTAGTTCGCGGTCGTTCTTCAGACGTTTCTGTTCCATACACTTGTCGCTAATATACTGAAAGGAAAATTAGTGAATAAAGAGAATGGTGTCAACGGAAACAGAAAAAAAAAGTTGTGGGGTAGACAAAGCCTCGAACGGCCCCGTTAAGTACCTCATCGACAGACTTGGTGGCACGACCGCACTGACGAGAACAAAGAACTGCTCGAGAATTCGAACCAATGCAATCGCTTCCGCCGTTGGCTGGGTATGGAGACGAGCATGTTCTAAAACATAGAAATTAATTGGTTGACGGAAGAACCTAAAGTTCATTACCTGCGAGAAATCGAAAGACCAACAGATCCCAAAATTCCATTGCATGTACATTGGGAGCAGATAGTGGCTCCCCACCCAGACCAGGAACCGTCGATTCTGGATGGAAGGGTAGTGGTGACAGGAGCGACGTGTTGAACTGGTGGCTGAATTTCGTTGGTTCCGGTCCATGGTACACATCTTCCGAGTTGACACCACTTGCTTGGTCCACAGAAAGTTCCTGGAATACACACTTTTTTGGTCCCTAGTCGGAGATGTTGTTTGGTGCTTCTAGGGTTCATTGCACTTTATTCAATTTGTCCATCTTTATGTTCGTTGCGGTCAATTTCACATACGACCCCTTGTGTTGTTTTTATGTTCGTCTTGAAATTTAGAAATACCAACCTTCTAGCGCCGGATGCGAGGTAATAATTCTGCCGAACGACGACTGTCCACACCACATCATGTAGCAAATGCCATCATACGAGTCTTGACGAGGTGTGACCTGTAAATAAACATCATTTTACCCCTGACCTGACATGTCCATTGCGCATAAATTTCAGCGTGTTTTTTTCTTTCAACTTTTCCCCTCCTCCTTTCCAATTTCACCCCGTGTGGTTATTCTGTCACTTTTCCCTTCTTCCTTCTTGTGTCAGATTTAAAAAGTTTCACACCGCCTTAGACGGACAACATGTGAATTGAGATGAGCGAGAGAAACATTGACATCGACACAGGAAAAAGAGAATCGGATGAGATTGAAGGAAGGAGAAGAAGAAGGAAAAAACGATATTTAGAATACGGTGTCAATATCGTTTTTATCGAAGATTTCTTCTTTTGCTGCTGCTGATGGTGCTGCTGTTGATTCTGTTACCCCCTGATTGCCGAAAGATGCTGCTATTTGATTCGGAGGGGGGCGCGCAACGGAAGTGGAAATGTCGAGAATAAAAAATCGAATGAACATCTTCATCTTCTCCGTTTCACCCTTTATCTCTCACTCTCTTTTTTTGCCCCTTCCAACTACATTTGTTTTCGGATGTGTTGCAATGTACCGGTCAAAGAATGAAACCGAAGAAAGAGAAGAAAGAAGATATCAAGATACCTTAGATGAATTTCTCAGAATTCTTCTACTAAAAGAATTCCTATACAACCCTTTTCACAGGATGCCGCCTACCCCCTTCGCAAAAAAATTTAAATCAAACTGTGCGGGGCGGAAAAGAGAGGAGGTGCAAAAAAGGTGATTAATGAGGGAAAAAAGAAAGTGTCTCTTTTCATCCAAAGTCTTAACCAACCTGCTGATATCCGTTTCCATGCATCAGTTCGCATTGAAGATTCGCATCATAGATTTGACCGGGTTTTACGTTGGACGAGATTTCCAACTTATTCGGCATATTTGACACGCGGAGACAGTTTTTTCCGCGTCCACTGTAATGAGGTTATGGATTTATGAGATGATTTCAGATTTTTGGTTTTGACCCCTGAGATTCAGATTCTAAACCACAAAACTGATTGAAATCATCCCCTACTGTTCAAGTGCATCCGAGTGTTACCCAATTACGACACATGACAGAAATTAGTTCAATTTTCGAAATCAAACCGTTTTTTCAATATCTCTATCCAATGAAGCAGAAAACGTACTCAAGTCGTTGCAGGAACTGATGGTAATCTCTCAGCGAACAAGTTGACCACGTGACCTTTCCGGGACCCAGTGACGATGACATAATGTGTTTCGAGGGACAGTATGGCTCATCGTGTCTCATTCCAACGCTGTGCCCAAGTTCATGGGTACCAATGAACGCAGATGTGAAATCCAATCCTTCGGCCAAAGTACACGTATTCCATGGATCACACATTCCATCGAGACGAGCGATCCCGGAAATTGAACGAGATCCAGCACCGCGATGGATGTCGTAACTGAAAAAAGCAACCACAGCTAATTAGATACGTGTCCTTTTTTCGCCCGCATGCGTCACTTTAAATTACCCAGTTAGCATAATAGCATGATCCCAATCACGGACAGCCAGATTTCGCTGGTATCTGCAGAAACGATCCAAGTACATTTGAGCGTTTCCATGATTGTGAAGGTAGCCAGCAAGAGCGGACTGAAACAAAATTTTTAAATCCCTATTCCTGAAATATAATGGTACTCACTGGTTGCCTTGTAAGCACTTCATATCGAATGACTCGGAAAGTGAGTGGAGGACTTGCTGTTGGCTGATAGTACATGATCTGAATGTTGTTGAGAAGAGTGAGAGTGTAATCTTGAAGCTTTCGATCTGCCATTCCTCCGTGTTTGCTGCTGAAGTGTCTCCACAGATTTTCATCCACAAACACAGCCAGTTCGACCTGTAACAAATGTTTTGTTCTATTGAAAATGACTGCTAACTTACAATAAGATCTGACTGTTGAGTCAATCGCTGTCCAGTGACAAAGACATCTTCGAAAATCGCACTCTCATCTTCAACCAAAGACTCCTCGGTCACAACGTTATCAAGACCACAAAAATCTTTTGGCTCTCCTGCTAGCGTTTCTCTTTTGTACACCACATGGGCTCCATTCTCAGTGGCTCGTTTTGATCGATGAGCATGGTGATCCGGAAATGGGTGGATTACGATAACTTCGCCATCGTCGATAACTGTCCCTTTCTAAAAAACAAAAGTTTTCATTCCACCACACCCATTCGCTTTCACTCACAATTCTGCCATCACAGTTACTGATAGCAGCGTACACTTTCTCGCCGTAATGATGGTAATGGCAGCTGTCAAGTGTTGATCCGAAGTCCAACGATCCTCCCTTCTTCTCGTTCTTCTTCACAATCGTCACTCCAGATGAGAGCAATTTTGCGAGAGTCGGTGTAAGGGTCAAATTGTACATCTTATCAAATGCCGTAAATTCCAGTTTGTGCAAGCTTCCATTTAAATGATAATACGGCATTGGATCGATCTCCTCGTGCGATGGGACTGAAAGTTTTTTTCCTAATTTTTTGACCCTGTTTTGCTTTTGGTACCTTTCGCATGAGTCTCAACTCCAAATGTATATTTCAAGTCATCTTCATTGAAGAATGGGAGAAATGCAATCGCATTCTGAAACAAAACTTTTAGTTCCGTATATTGTTTTTATTTCTGTCTTTATGTTGATCTGATTATAAATTGAAGTATGTGTTTGCAAGTTGCCAAGTTTTCGTCGCCACCCGTATTACGGCCAAAGTTCAAGTTGTCTCGGAAGTCATTCAGAACACCCAAAGAAGAAATAAACAGTTTGTTTAGTAGTTACGTGCTAACTTATATTTCTGAATCTTCTACCCTCTACGTGCCGATAAGAGGAGGTGATAAAATAATTTGAGAGGAAATGAAGAAACCGAACTTTTCTTCTGCTAGACTTTTCTCCTCTGCTAAGTCTCAAAACAAGAATAAGAAAAAACTTCCAGACTAGCAGAAAAAAACCTAGGTCACACCTGCAGACTACCCTAATCCCTGTGTAGTAAACTCTGAATGAAAAAAGGTGATCATCGTTTTATTAGGGACTGTAATCTGAAGTTGTAAATTTACTCTGCAGATGTATTCCTGTGTGTTTTATTCAGCAAAGGACGGAGACACAAGACTTTTTCCATGTTTCAAGTTCCGACAGACACTTGTCAATGAAGCGTGGATTTGATTGACCATCAGACGCCCGTATCTCGGGTCGGGTTCTGATCTAACGTTCCCTTTTTCTTTCAACGACTTTTTTGTCAGTCATCATCAACGCACCGTAACGACAGTTGTGTGTGTGTCCAATTTCGCAGAATCATTTCTGCAGAAAAGCGTTTCCTAAAGATCGAAAAGGAAGGAAGAGAGAGTGTGGATGTTCAAAGAATTCTTTTGCACCTCGTTTATCAATATGAATTGCTTATTTCATCCCCTGCACGTCGCCTGATGGACGGTTAGCGTTGAATCTGATGATAGCCATAAGAAAAACATTGTTTGGCTAGCGCGGTGAATTTACAAAATTCCAAAGATATGAACAGATATCATCTACTGTAGTTCCTGATTTGCACTGCCCACCCTTCCAAATCTTCTAAAAATTGCAAAAGTCCCAAACAAACATGCGCGTCTATATTTTCGATCTTCGAAAAGTGTGAAAAACGCGCGAAATTTTGCGTTGGAAGAGGGTTAAAATAATTATCTAGAAGCCTGTGGGATTGCCGTTATCCTGAACGGAATCTAGGGAGTTTTATGTTATTGGCGAGTTTTTTTTGAAGCGTCTATCCAAATTTCCTCCCTTCTTTCTTAGCTATATGTTACGTTATATATCCTTGCCAACCAATGCGTTCTGACGCTTCTACTTCTCGTTATCTTTGCCGTTTTATCTAGATGAGGTTTTATGCAGCAACAGGCTCTCTAGCTTTTCTTTTAAACCCTCCGTGTTTTTCGAAGGGTTGTTGTCTTATTGTCAAAAACCAATTGGATTACCTCTCCGCCCACTTTTCTATTCTTAATCTCAAATCTCTCGGGCCCCGGTGTCGACCCGGGGTTCATCAATGTTTTCACGGTGGCTGACTTGTGTGTGTATGGTGCGAAATAGTGTTTTCGGTTTTGAAACGCAACAAAACTGGTCATATTCTCCCAAAAAGTAGCCGTTGCGCGATGCGAAGGGGCCACTCTCGGGCTTCCCGTCCGTCAGTTTGGCGCCTTTTTTCTGTGGCGCGACCGCCGACACCGAGACAATCAACAAAACCGAACTGATGATCAAACCGAAAACGAAAGAGAGGAGAGATAATAAGAAAGAAACAAGACACAGTCTCGAGAGTAGCCTATCGCTCTCGCTCGCTCTTTCCCGAAGCCGTTTTTGGGGTTCGATAGCAGCAGACGGGTAAAGAGTTGCAAAAGTGCGCAATTTGAAGAGAGATACGCGAGAAAAATAGAGGGACGAGAATGAACAAAGTGCCCTTGACTGGAATCTTCAAGGCTAAACAGTTACGCGCTTTGATTTTCACCACCGCTGGCCTCTGTCTCTTCTTCTACTCTTCCATTTCCTGCCGGTCAGTTGAATGGCTAGCGTTTCGGAAAAGCGTGGGCGACCTCCTGAAGAAGTTAAGTGAGTGAGAATTGGCAACCTGGTGGGGCGTCGGAAATACAGCAAGTTAGAATTAGAGGTCAGACTGGCTCTCTACAGAATCAAAATTTCGCGGAAAAGGAGGAAGTGAAAAAATATACATCATCTTGGACATGAATGGCAATTATAATGAAGACTTCGGAACAATATTAAGTGGGTTCAAGAATAATTCGAGTCTAGAGGTCAATAATTGAGTAGCGGTAGTAGTTTGCAAGACTTTTCACGTTTTTTTTGTCTCATTTGGCTAGTTGAAAAAATCCTACAGGTTTACAAAAGCCTGATTACTGTAATGGATGTAATATTACTGGGAGGATACGACGATACAAAAAAATTAAGAATGTGGGAAAAATACAGTATACCCGAGAAAAAAGGTAACGCCGAAATAAAACTCACTCGAAAAAGCAGTACGCTGACTAGCAGCGGTAGAAGCATGTTGCTGTTCTGGAGTTGGCAGAAGGGCCAAGAATGAGAATATGCAGATGTGCCAAACGTCCAGCCGCGGGTGAGCAGCCCGATCCTCCGTGCAACTTTACTGTAAATGAGGAATGGAAATGAGGAACGGAATGAGATGTTCGAAATCGGAAAAATCGGAAGAGAAGGTGGATGGTGTGAGATTGGGGGAGGAGGGAAAAATTTTTCAGGGGAGATGTTGGAGGTAAATAGTAAAATATCCGAGGTAGGTGGGAAGATCGGGGAGGGAGGGGTGGGTCTCTCTCTATCTCTCTCTCTTTCTCATTCTCATTCCCACTTCCAAGGCGAGACACCTTCTCGGTAGCCCCAAAACGTTTTCCTCGGGGGTTTGCTTCGTCTCCGTGGGCGTGTCCTACTGTAAACCCACGGCGCTCACGCCACTCACGCCAAACACTCACCGCGGTCGTTAGTCGTTCTTTCCATCTACGATACATTCACTCACAAAACACAAGAATATATATGTAGAAGGAAAAGTGGGAGGGAAAAAGAAAATGAGTGGAAGTTGAAGAAGAAGAAGAAGAAGAAGAAGAAGAAGAAGAAGAAGAAGAAGAAGAAGAAGAAGAAGAAGAAGAAGAAGAAGAAGAAGAAGAAGAAGAAGAAGAAGAAGAAGAAAAAGAAGAAGAAGAAGAAGAAGAAGAAGATGATGATAAGAAAAAAACGAA